GTCCGGGCTGGGTGCCTAGGAGGGAAGGCGGGGGTGGAGGGAGGGCCAGCTGGCAGGAACCTGGAATATAGTGACAGCTGAAAGGACACGGTTCACCCATACTGTGGACCCTCCTTCCCCCTCGGGAAGTAGCGGCCAGCTTAGTACTCGGAAGCAGGCCATGCTGGTTGATCGCTGGGGCTTTATTTGGCTATTTACTGCAGGCCTTCATCTCAGCTAGTACTGTGGAGTCAGCACCGGGCACAGGACCCGCAGGACCAGGAAGGGGCGAGGCGCTCCTTCCCTTCCCGCCGAGGCCCAGCCCAGGTCAACTGAATACAAAGAACCATGAACAGTTCTCGTTTCCCACATCAGCCAAGTCACTTCCTGAAACAAAACAAAATGAATTATCTCTAACAATCACCGTCCTGCACCAGTTTTCTTAACAGCCAGGGGCTGGAAGGGATCTTAAAGGTCTTCTCCCAGAGCCGTCATCGGATGACTGAATTTCCAGTTGGTTTTAGGTCTGTTTGCATATCTCTGAACAGGAAGAGCTCATGACCCCTTAGGGCAACTCTGGTGGCCTGTGCAAATCTCAGCCCCCGTCCAACTCCAGCTATCTGTGCATCCTTGTCAGTCTGACTTCAAGATTTAATGCCTTGAAAGTAGCAAATAAGTCTCACATAAACTTACTATTTAGCAAATGTTTGGTGTATTTTTGTTAGCAGAAATCAATTACTCTCTCTGCACAGAATAGTAGTTTAAAGGGGGCCTCTAACCCTCTAACCACACACAGACAACTTGGGAACCTCTAACTTCCAAAAGGTAGAGGAGGGCTCAATACCACCTCCCAGGGTTGCATCTCAGGCCCACAAGGCTCTACGGCTGGGATGGCCTTAAGGGTCTTCCTGGGAGAAGAGAAGTCCAGTCAGGGGCGCCTGGTGTTCCTGCCTCTGCACTTCCATGGTGGAAACCTGGTGATGCTGGGAACAGCCCCACCCTCTGCACGAGGTATCCGCCCTGCCGCTCATGAGCGTGCATTTCCTGTGCTGGGAAAGGGAGCGGGCGGCTTTTCTGTTAGGTAGGAGACATCGTGCTGCCTTCAGGAACAGGAATGCTTTACTGCTGAACACTAACAAGTCTAGACCTTTTATATATAGGTATATATATTTTTAATGGAGGTGCAGGACCTCACGCATGCTATAGCACTAAGCTATACCCTCCCCGAAGAATTTCACTCGTTGAAACTAGTAAATGGAAAACAAATACCCAAGTGGCTCACTGGAGATCCAGAAGACCTCAAAGACCTGGACCAGACCTGGAGTTCTCATTCTCTGAAACAGAATTTTGTAGCTAGTGCACCAGAGCCAAGACCAGAAACCATTTTGAGATTGGCTAATGTGAACAAGAACCAGTTTCAGAGTCTGCAGGAGCCTTCATCTTCCCAGTGCAGACAATCCCAGTGAAGAAAATCTCCAAGGATGCTGAGCAATGGGCATTTCTCTGTCTTCTCCGGTTCCCGTCTGAAGCTGGAGTCTAGGCTTTCCGTTCTTTTTCTCTCCTGCCTTGCTCCAGATTCCAGGTGGGCGCCTATGGACGCAGTGATGAAGAACAGGACAAAGGAGGAACGCTCAGTGGTCCTCCTCTCTCTGCTTCCCAGTGTCTGGGAGGCAATCCCCGCTCTGCTCTCTCTTCCCATTTTCCCTCGTTTCACAGAAGTGCCACTTCCTGGTGATCAAGAACCCAAGAAAATCATCTGGCCTTCTTCACCTTTTCCCATATAAAGACCAGTTCTTTGCATGGATAGAGGGCAACAGATGGTTTCACCCATTAGGTACCATGAATACAAAGTCAATACTGTTGTCCACACGTGGACTGAATGAAAGGGCAGTTTATCAAGAAAGAAGTGTCCTGGAGACATATTAGCCTAGGTGAAATTTTGCCCAGGTCACCCCCCTATCCCTACCTCACCATCCAATCGCAGTGGCTTCTAATGATGGCGTTTTATTTCTTGCTCAAGTTGCACATCCTTCATAAGCTAGTGACCCAGGTGGATGGAGACATCATTACCTGGAACACGGACGGTCTCAGAGCAGAGGAGAGATGGCAGCCACAGGCTACCTCAAAGCTTCAGTTTCGAAGCCACACAGGTCGCTTTTTTCACTGGACAGAGGAAGACGCTTGCTGACTCCTGAGTTCAACATGGTGGCTACATAATCCTCTTGCAGGGAGGGGCTGCCACATGCCAAAGTCTGAGCTTGACATCAATGGGCAGGAAGCAGAATCCTTCCGGAGGGAGGGGTAGAGAAGACTTTGAACAATAGTCTACCCGAATGTAGACAGGCCTCGCCTTCTCGTTCTGCAGAGCATCGTTGCGTCCCCTCTGCTTCATCCTCCCAGGGCTCTTATGCTGCCTCTTGTCTGGCCTAGGGCATCACCACCAGGGCATGGAGCTTCCCTCAGTGTTGGGCTGCTGAAGAAGGGAGAGTACTTGGTCCTACTCGAGTGCTGTGCTGAGGTGATGACAGGGGTTGCTGGGAGTCTCCCAATCCCAGAATATGACAATACTGATGGCGATTTCCAATGTGGGGTCTTTAGGTTCTGCAATAACTCAATGCCTGAGAATCTCTTCACCTCCTTGGAGCTCTCTCAGTGAGCAAATGATTTCTGAGTCCCAGACATGAGAGCATAATACGAGGCCAGAACACAGGCTGCTAAGCTCCCAAACATCAGACAAAGCAAGAAGCTATGAGGCATGAATGGCATCTTTAACATAATCTTATATTTGGAAAAGCGGTTTAAAAAAAAACACTTGAAAATACAAGATAAGGTAACAGTGACTTACGTAAGTTTTCACCTTATATTGCTTGGCCATTTTTACATATAAATTATTGCTTACTAGCTTTGATAAATACACAGCACAGTCATATATACAGAAGCAGAAAGCATGAAATATGAGAGAAAATACTGTTAATGGCAATTCTGGTAATTCCACATGTGTTTCATATTTACCAGCTCTACTAATGGTGGAAAACTACGCAGTGTAGTCCCTGAGAAGTTAGACAGACACCCTGATGGCGGGTTTTCTATCTTCTAATTGTTAACGCAAGCTTACAGTGTCACAGCAGTCTTATTTAATGACGCACTAAAAGGCAAGAGTCCTTGTTTCAGGTCATCCATTTCATCCCAGTATTTAATAACAGTGTCATACGAATACAATAAATAGGCTATGCAAATAAATACTCTGCTAAAAAATGTTTAGTATGTACAGCTTTGCTTTATACAGTAGTACACTTTCTAACTTTTTGGCAATTTTTAAAACCTTTTTCTTCCCCTACTGGTTTTAAGCACAATGGCCCACTCGTTACGAAGCAGGCTGAAATTTTAAGGACACGTCTTTGAAGCGTTTAAAAGAAACTCCATGTTAGACAACTGCAGTGGACCTGATCTTCCCTATCTTAATGTTTTGCCTAGTTTCTGAGCAGCTTGGATTAGCTGTGCCACTGGGGACACTAAGCTTGGGACTGTGGTGTATGATGCTTATGACAAAGTGACGGGGCTGGGCTGGGGCAGCAGAGAAAGCCCAGCCCCAGGGGTCAGAAGCTACTGGCAACCTCTCTTTCATGCAACCGTTTCTCCCTGCTTGGAGGTGACTATGCAGTAGCGTTAACACCTCCCTACAAACTGGGAGGCGCAGGGTTTCACTTTATCCTCGTGCTTCTGAGTTTAATGTATGCTCCACCTGACTTGCTTGTGGATAGGGGTCTAGGAAAATGAGTTTATTCTAAACAGACACTAGAATAAAGTAATGCAGGCCACAATATTTATCACTACAACCATTTGGCAACTGTATACATTATAACAATGAGTGAATTTAAAACACTGTAGTCTTTGGAGCATCTGTAAATGTTTATGGGAAAAATTTTTTACATTTTGGAAAAGCTGTGACTTTGCCCATAGGAACCTGTCCTGTGCTGACTTCTAAGAGGGCTGGTTTGCTGGAATACTGACAAATCCAAAGACCCACAGGACTGTCTGAGAGCTGTGCTGTAGCAAGAAGAAACCTGCTTAGAAGTGCTGTGCACCACTTGCTGGTGAAGGTGGCAGATTACAGGAGATTTTTCAGAGTGAATGGAGATTTCATGTGATGGTGAAAATCTAATAGAGCTGGAAAGGAGCTTAGATGTCTTCCAGCCCACCCTTCTGGCCAGAACAAAACCTATTCCAAAGAAGCCTTGGCAGACACTTGGAGAAGGAATATGACCCATCCCCATCAACAGGGACCCTGCCTCAGTCCCGTGCAGCCTGCTCACTTGGACAGCTCACATTCACCAGAAAGAATTTCATGCTGTGCTAATTCTGGTTCCCACGATTCTGCTTTGAATTCTTTAAATTCCACATTTAAGTCTTCTCAGAGCTTCGGAAATTTCTGAGAGCTGCTGCCTGGGAAACCTCTCAAGACAGATGTTAAACTTCAGAACAATTTGGAGATACTGACTTTCAGAAGACAGGGGTGGAAAGCATATCTAGACTAAACAAAATCCTCCTTTCCTTTTGCTGCCCCGAGAGCCACAGGACCTCGGCTGCAGGAAACACAGACAAGCACCAGTTTCCCCCCCGCCTGTTTCCACCCCTACCATGTGGGATACTCTGACTTCACCCTCACAATGCTTTTCAGCACGATGTACGTGTGGGTTCATTTGGCCATGGATGTATTTGAACTGAGGTCTAAGCAGCAGGTGCTGGGTTGAAACTGTTCTCCACTGGAGCAACTGAAATAGTTTTAGTTGGAGCAATGTAGATTGGATATGAATAACAATTTAAATTGTAAAACACAGAGACAAGATCACAATGGCCTCATGTGATGAGACTGGCCAAATGCTACTCCCTGGCATAGAGAAAAGGCCAGAAGACACACCGGGCTGTAAGGCCACACCATCTTCAGTAGCTCCCAAGGGAAGAGCTTTTCCAGTGTTTGATCAGCAGTAAAAGATGTCGCCTTTCCCTGGTTCTGATGGCTCTGATCTCCTCCAATGGGTCTCATTCCATTCCCAGCAGCCTGCAGCATTTCTCTGAGTGGACCAGCCCTGCATGGTGCCTTTCTATAAACCCTCGTTAATTTTCTGGACTGAAGCGTGACATGCTGGAACAGACTGAGTCTCTTTGAAAGTTCTACCCCAAATTTTCTCTGTGCAGCTCCTTCCAGTGATCTCTCAAGCTCAGTGTGGTTCCCGAGCCCAGGAAACAGCACTGCCATAAAGGCGTCAGAAAGCATCAGACACAGCTTCGTAATGAGGTGCTGATGAGACAAAAGCAAGCGGTTCTGTACGGGCACCGAGGAGATGGCCAGGCAGGAGCAGCGACGGGGGCACCAGGGGTGCCCGTGAGGGAAATGAATGGAGCTAGTATGTGAAGCAGGGCCCTTATGTTTTAGCAAAGGGACAAGGATCTAGCTGGCAGGGGTGGATTTCATTACTGCACCCCACAGGCTTTTCTGTTCATTTGAAGGTTGAGGGATATCCTCTAACCAGTTCCTGAGAACAGCAAGAGGTCTTAATTACTGTAGGAACCCCAACCTGTAAAAATGGGAATAAATAGAGACTTAAAAGACTCTCAGACTTTGAGGGAAAAAAAAGGCAAATTATAGAGAGGCTCCCTGCCTTGGTTGGGAGGTGGACTACAGGACTTCTAAATGTCCAACATAAATCAGACGTTTGGATATTTGGGGACTTTTTTCATTTGCTGAAAGACAGGCAATCATCACTATCCCTTGCTCTTCTCTAGAGGTTGCCAAGGGCTTCACACATCAAATCCCACTTAACATCCCTGTGCTAGCTGTTCTCAATCCACAGTCAGGGCATGAGGCTGCCAAAGGCATGCAAAACAGGAGGGCACCGCCAGGCACAAGAGGGAAGACCGCTACGATTCCGTCACTCAGAAAACAGTTTCAGAGTGCCTACAGTGTCTCAGGCATTGTGCTTTTTTGAAAATCATATTGTATCCAAGGAGAGATGAGAACCTGCTTGCATGTGTAAAGAAAATCCCCAGAAATTAAACAATGAGTTAATTTCTTAAAGATGACTATTTTTCCGTACTGGCAAAGCATCTTAGTCTAACTTGCCTACAGTTGTAAGTCAGCTGTGCAGAAACGAATTTCACCTGCAAGCATACATCCATAAGTGGCTGTGGATGCAAAGAAATGCATGCCTTGATATTTCTCTTCTGGAGATCAGAGCTGAGATGCCAGCGCCAGTCCTCACCAACTCCCTAGACACAAGTGGCTTTTGGTGATGTCATAGTTCATATGGACAGAGACCACTCCTTCTCCCTGGAAATCTAGAGATGCCATCACTGTCTTCAGGGGTTCAAATGAGCTCTTTCCTGACTGCCTATCAACAGTAATCCTTCCAGGCAAAGTAAAACTCCTCCCTGTCTCATGCACACTCTAACTGAGATACTGGGTCACTGTGTGACAAGACACGTGCTCTCATCTTGACGCTGGCACATCTCAAAGTGAAAACTGGACTGGCTCAACAAAGTGGATCAGAAGAAACCAGACTTCTCCATTTCAAGAAAGCTTCTGACTCTCTTTCTGCCTCCTCCTTCTGAGAGCAGCCTTTCCCCACCTCTGGCGGCTGACATCACTTCCCCAGTATGCTGGGGCTGGCTTTCCTGTGTGTGTCCTGTGATATACTGATAAAACTCAGCAACTTCTGTTCTCGCAGGAAAGCAATGTGCTTGGCACTGCCATTCCCAGAGCTCCCGGGGCGGTGGGGCTCACACCCGCGGCTCGATCCGGTGTGAGAGCTCGAACAGGGCCTGCTGGCTGTCAATGACGTAGAGGTGATTAACATAGGATTTCAACTCTTGGTGCTCTTTTGGAGACATGTCACCTCCTGTTTGGGGGAGAAGAAAAAGACAGTCAATCTCATGAGAGCAGAAATGCTGTTTCTTAATACCAGTAAAACCCCATATGAAGACTTACAGTAAACCCAGAAGGTAGACCCTCATTAGGCAGGATCCCAGAAGAGAGATCTTTATCCTAACAATGGAGATGCTTTTTCAGCTCAGACTAGATCCCTCAGGTCAGACTGGCAAGATTATTTGTTTTACCAACATTGATACAGCATTTCCTCCTAACAGTATGTGCTACTCCCTCCCATTACGTTATCATCTCCTCCACAGAATGGGATTCAGCAAAGACACAGCAAGTAAGCGGCAGAGCAAACTAGCACCTGGGCCATGAGGCTCCGAGTCCACGGCCTCGGCTCCACACCAAGGAGCCCATTGCAGCGACTGTCCCTTTAATAGGCTCTTATATCGCAGACCAGAACTGTCAGAAATCACTGCTAATCTGGTGACTGCACAGACACAATAGTTCTCTTTCTTTTAGATTTTGTACAATCTTTTGGTGCCCTTATTTTTGGGGGAAAAAAGTTAAAGGATCAACTGAACGAACAGATACCACAGATGTGAACTGAAGGTATGATTAGTAGGCAAAGCAAGTTCAGAAACTATGTGGATATTTCGTGGGGAGGCTGCCGAAGCTATCCCACAGTGAGACCATGTAACCGTGGGTCTCCTGCTTCGTGGGACTTCAGATGGAGGGGCAGGTGTGAGGCTGGATGGAGTTCAGCTTGAGCAGGTGGGTGGGGCCCCTAGGAGGCCGAACATTTTAATGCAGACATTTTTTCTCTTTGGTGAAAACCCATGTTTTCCTTCTCGATGACAAATACATTTTATGAGGAAATAATTAAGGTTTGTATGTCATGGATGGCTTGTAATTATTAGCTTTAATAGAAACAAGGCTTCCTGGTTTCAACAGGTTAAAGCACCAGGAGTTAGTTTTTACCATCCCCCTTGTTTGGTTTAGAAAACATGATGCTACCAATTTTTTTTTTTTGCTACTGAGGCAATTTTGTTGTTAACTTTCCACCCTTAAAATGATGGCAGGATTGGCAGGGAGAGTATAACTCAGTGGTAGAGCACATACTTAGCATGCATGAGGTCCTGGGTTCAATCCCCAGTATCTCCATTAAAAAAATAATAATAAACTAATTATAAAAAAAGGTGGCAGGATGAATGCTTCCAACCACGACAAGTGAGACTTGCATGGCACTTTGTAAGTGGCATGATTAAAATCATATTATTTTATCCCAAATGCTGACCTTGGTTAACTCTGCCTAGACAAACTGTCAAAATAATTTAGAAAATTCAGTCCCAAGTTACTTAAATCACTATTGTTAAATTTCTCCTTTGCTTTGTGCTATGCAGACTTACTCTCTGGTGATGGGAGGTTCACGGCGGGCTCAAGGCCAGCCACACCAGTAAACCTTCCTGCCTGCACTTGCAGTTTACATAGACCAGAATCCTTGGTAAGTTAGACTGAGGTCTTAGACTTCGCTGAGTGCCCATAAATACTTGGGAAACAAAGCAGGATGGAAGAAACACAAACCCATTCCTCATCAGCATTGTTATACTTGCACATGTGAGTGAATCTCTGTGCCAGTGTTACTGCTATTTCTACTGCAACTGCTTTGCACTTGGGTAGTCAATGGAGAATTACATAAGCACAGATCAAATCGTGTTCGTTGATGTGAACACTTTTGATTGATTTATAATTATTAAAGCCTTAGTTTCCTGCTCTGCATCCACAGGGTGGGTAATCTCCCTTCACCAGTACTGGTGTCAGGATTCCGCTGTCCATGGAACAGCTCCTTGAACTCAATACAGTTGATTTCCTTCCTTCTTCCTGCAATGTTTTAACACCATTTAAACATAGTGTAAATCATTCCTGAGATTTAAAAAGGAGCAAATATCCCTCCATACATTCATCTCAGTGTGGAATCTACAAATGGGCTCAGAAAAATACTTTTCCAGTGAAAGGCAGCTCCAGATAGGAAGTTTTTCTTGGAGAGGAGAAAAGATTCTGGAAGGCTGCTTTACGCATGTTAACAAACTATATTCTTATTCCAGGAAGGCTCCAAGCAAGGAGTTTAGGGCCAGGTCACTCCTGATAAAGCCAGGGATCATTCTGAGCCAGTGGGCAAGCAAACACGACTTTCTGGGTCAAGGACAGAGTGGGAACTTCTGACTGTCTAAAGTCACTCTGTGCAGTGGACACTGGCTGCCAGGACAGGACCTAAAGCTGCCATTTCTTGTTTCACTCTGCATCCCAAATGTGCGGTGATGAAACAAAGAGAGAATACAGTATATGCATATGATGTGCATATTATATACTACAATCTGTTTAAATTTATTTCCACCAAATACCAACTTACAGTAAATGAACAGTCCACACCCCATTTCAATCACTCACCAAACTGGTTAGTCCTGCAGTGTCTCAGGGTTCGGACGGTGTCTGCAATCATATGCTGGAAGACAGAATAGGAAACACATGAATGGAAGGGTGGTTTTGAGAGTTGCCAAGGGAGCAGTGCTGCGAGGATGGCTGGACTGTCTAACACCTTTGGGTGTAAAGAGAAGAGCTATATTTGGAGCTGGGCCTAACTTTAATTAATTATACTGAGTTTGGATGACAAAAGAATATTCAGACCTTGTCTACAGAAACAGGAGCTCTCAACCCCGGCTGCACAGATTCTAACTGGGCCATAGGAAAACCTGCTGTAAAGAAATGCAGCACAAGACAACCTACCAAATGGGAGACAATATATGCAAATGATATGACCAGTAAGAGGTTAATACCCAAAATATATAAGCAGCTCATACAACTCAACATCAGGAAAACAAACAACCTGATTAAAAAATGGGCAGAAGACCTGAATAGACGTTTTCCCAAAGAAGACATACAGATGACCAACAGGCACATGAAAAGACGCTCAATGTCAATAATCATCAGAGAAATGCAAGTCAAAACCACGAGACGTCACCTCGCACCTGTCAGAATGGCCATCATCAAAAAGAGCACAAATTACAAATGTTGGAGAGAGTGTGGAGAAAAGGGAACCCGTGTACACTGTTGGTGGGAATATAAATTGGTACAGCCACTGTGGAAAATAGTATGGAGGTTTCTCAAAAAACTAAAAATAGAACTACTATATGACCCAGCAGTTCCACTCCTGGGTATATATCTGGGGAAAAAAAAAGAAATAAAGAAAACACTAATTCGAAAAAGTATATATACTCCACTGTTCATAGCAGCATTATTTACAATTGCCAAGCTATGGAAGCAATCTAAGTGTCCATCAACAGATGAATGGATAAAGAAGATGTGGGGCGTGTGTGTGTGTGTATGTATGTATGTGTATAAACAAACCAGGGAATATAACAAAATGAAACAGACCCACAGATACAGAGAACAAAGTAGTGGCTACCAGTGAGGAGAGGATGGGAGGAGGGGCAAAATAGGGGTATGGAATTAAGAGGTACAAACTATTATGTATAAAATAAATAAGCTACAAGGATATAGTATAATACAAAGAATATAGCCAATATTTTATAGTAACTACAAATAGAGTACAAACTTTAAAAATTACGAATCACCACGCTGTACACTAGTAAATTATTTATAATGTACATCAAACATACCTCAATTAAAAGAAGAAAAAATTTTTCAGAAAGTATATAATAAAAAAAAACAATGCAGCAAGCCCATCCTCAACCTACCTGTCCACATTTGCTTATACTTTTCACTTCAGGTGCAACTTCCCCTTCTCCCCATGAAGCCTTTCTGAGATGGCCCTTCCAGACGGGGGAGGCTCCATTCCCAGCCTTCCCAGTATTCCCTGTACAAGGCACGCTGGGTTTGTGCTGTAATTACTGGGGAACTTTCCTCCTCCTCCAGACCAGGTGCCACGGTAGGGCTGGGGGTGCAACCAGGTGGCAACACACAGTCACACATACACGCTGAGTGGAGGCAGGAACTTTTGTGGAATCAAAGATGCAAGGAACTCAAATGGTGACAGGAAATGAGATATTTGTGAACGCTGAATATTTTCTAAAACATGGATATCTATACAGAGGCCGTTTCCTGTTTATAATGGTCATTCCTTTTACAGTCTTCACTTATCTACTTTCAAGTTCTCACTGATCTCCAGGCAGTTTCTTAAACTCACAGATCCCCTGGCCTCACTCTTGTGTCTCTGTAACCGTCTTCCAGCTCTCGCTACCATTTTCAGTTCTCCAGGGTAAAGGAAAGATAGCATTTAGGACAAGACCAATCTCCACTGCAGTTCCTCCTGCATCACTGTCTGAATAACCTCCAAACACCTGTCATCCTGTTCTGGTCCTCTGAAAGTCTACAGTGACGCCAAATATGGTCTCATACGAAAACCAAATATCACCCTGGTATTCAAGAATCAACGTTATTCATGATCTGGTCCTTCAAACCTCCCTAAATGAGCCATCTTTTTTTTACTTCAATTGAAATATAGTTTACTTACAATATTATATTAGTTTCAGGTATACAACATAGTGATTCAAAATTTTTATAGATTATACACCAATTAAAGTTATTATAAGAGTCTGGCTGTATTGCCTGTGCTGTACAATATATCCTTGTATCTTACTTATTTCACACATGGAGTTTGTATCTTGGGCCACCATCTTTCATGTCCTGCCTACACACACCAAACTCAGAATTGTCCATGCACAGCAAATCGTCAACGAAGTACATCTAAAATAATAGTGTTCATACTAAGAAAATTTTTTTAACTTAAAATCCAGCAGATCTACAGAAACATTCTTTGAATATGACCTCCTTACTAAATCATTCTCATGGGCGGCGCGTCTATTGTATTTCTACTCAGTAGTGAAAAATTAAACAGGACGGTGATCACAGCAACAGCGTGAGTTGTGCTGGTAAAGGAAATGAAACCTGACGCACGTCTGTGAATTTATTGTCCAATTTCCTTCCCCGGATTTCACCGCTTCTCCCAGGACAGCCCCTTGTGTCAAGCTGTGGCGTCACCCTGATTTCTATCACGTGCCATGAGCACAGCTGATGCAGGGAAGGCGGCCGGAGGGTGGCCTTGAAACCCGAGTCCTGATCCCATCTCTGGGTTTTCTGATTGGGGAGGGGGGCAGCTATGACAAAAGATGATGCTCTTCACATTGAGGGATAAAGAGAAGGAGAGGAGAAAGCATTTGCTTCTTCGTTATTTAATAGTGTGAGGCTGGAGCATTTAGAGGTGCAGAGGCAGTGAGGGGAACGATGGATATCTTGTCAGACCCAGCAAGCACTTCTAGGTCTCTGTGTCCTCTGACTTCATGTGTCGGCCTGGAGCAGCCAGATAAAGACAATACACTGAATTATCTGCTCACTGACTCAAGCTAATATCCATCAGGAGGGACTGGCTTCCTACCAGTTAACTCAGTTAGGTGCTATTGGTTCATTATTGTGAAAGATGATCCTATTTTAGCTTAAGTGAAACCCTGTCTTCTGGTAAGAAATGTGCCTTGAAATGACTGACTCTATCAGGAAATTCAGCTTTTTTCTCTGGCATCCGAGTATAATAGGACCATGTGTGATACAAAATGGAGTTTTGTCCTTCCGGAAAAAACTCTAACTTGATCCTGTCTTCTCTCTGTAAGGAGAGGGTCAGCATGAGGTGTGCTGTATCTTAAGTGCCATCTGCTTTGAGGACCAGAAGCCAGTGATACCAGAGTCTGCTCTCTTCAGAAATGACGTGCTAACAAGCCCCAGGGAGAGGGGGGGACTAGCGCACCTGCCGTGCGCATGCGTAGCTGCACTTAGATCCCAGTGGCCTTTTTTTTAAATAAGAGTTCTCTTCAAGAATTTAAAATTTAAAATAAAAGTTTATTTATGCCATGTTACTTCCTTGAGCTTTATTAAGGGATTAAGGGCACAAACAAGTATTGACCCTAAGAAAAGTACTGTTTGTTAGACTTTGTTCCAACCCCTACAGTTAGTCTGAAGTCTTGGCACCTGGGCCAGCAAGACCTACACTACATTCAGTGGCATTAAAAGGCTTCTGGACTGTTGCAGAAAGCAGGGGAACACTAGAGATGCTGGTCAGAATGGAAGAGAAAAGGGTGTAGGAAGCCTTCCACTGCTCTTTCCCACTCATGCCTGTATCAAATCATTCTCTTGTCTCGGCAGCACTGTCTCAGTGGAATGACGCAGTGAAGCGCACCAATCACTGGTTCCTTTTGCAAAGGAGGTCAGCCCCCAGCCTGCCCCGAACGTAGACAACAGTCAGCTTATAAAGAGTACACCTGTTCTCCCATGCTCCCTCTGGCTTAGTCAGAGGGAAAGTTAGGCCTTTAGAGGGAATTTCACTTGGTGTGACACACCTCACCCCACATCTTCGCACACTCTCTCCAAAGCTTACTTGGCATTCTTAAGCAGACGTGTGGCCAGGATTTGAAACAAATATTGACCAAAGGCTTCATTGTCCTGTAATCATTTCATCAACCAAACACTGGTGATCACCCTGCCCACAGATTACCAGAATGCTAATGCCTACAGTCTTCAGCTGCAGACAGGTGCCCTGTGATCTATCAGAATATTACACAGTGACACATACCAAACCTGTAAAGAATAAGTACGAGAAAAGCTAATACTTTAAATATCCATTTCCAGCTGTGTTGGTTTGTGTGTAGTATCTAAAATAACTAAGCTTGATTCCAAAGCACTTAGCGCAGAGAGAGGCTTGAAAAGTTATAGTCACATCCACTTCAAAAATAACTAGCCAGAAAGTGATCATCTTCCAGTAATTACCATGGAGCTAGGCAAGACATTCTGAGACGTCAGCCTTCCAGATGCCAGCTGCTCGTGTTTCCAGGTCGCACTGGCTCTGTGTCACCTCATCTGGGGGTGACACGTTAACCTCACAATTAGAACTGGGCACTTATGAGGCAAAGGTCAGAGTCCAAGCCTTGTCTGGACTCATCAGCTGGTACTGTGCATGGTCGTGGGCTACGGCCTCTGGCCCATTCAACTTCTTCTCAAATGCCTGACCCAGGCTCTCAGGGAATCCGGAGCCTTCTCCCGAAAGAGTTCACACAAATCCATTACCATGACTGAAAAGGTCATTCAAAGGCCAGGGCCTATGGACAGGCATCACTGGTATCACCTTTAGCCGCGCACGCAGTCTAATCCACGACACTAAAGTTCACCTGTCAGACAAATCCATTCTACTTAGTAGCCAGCTATGTCTCCGCAGCACTCCTGTTTTACAGCTGCTCAGCTCTCACAGGCAACTCCTCCTCTGCCCTCTGCCGCCCGTGAGAAAGGCAAGGGGGTGCCCACTGCATGACAAAGCACCTGGGAATGTCCTGGAGATAATTCAGGAAGAGGCATTTCAGTAACCTGTAAGGAAGGACTGGCCAGGGACCCCTTCCTCAGGAGCAGGGAGGGCACTCTGCCCTGCGGCTCTCTCCACAGTGGTACCATTTGTCCACAGGCTGATGGCGGGGATCCTTCCTCTCACATGCAGACCCTACAAGCCCCATCTTCATATCCAAGACGGACGTATCTCCCCAGAAGGAGAGCTTTCTCCTGGGCCTCAGAAGCAGAACATGCCAAGACACCGAGGGATGCCTTTAAAGCAGAAAGGCTGAACCTCATAAGAGGAAGATCCTGCCAACAGGACCCTTACATTTTGAATCCTTGTTCAAATACACTCAGCCACTAACGTTAATCTAATGAATTTTGTTCAAAAACAAAAAGCAGACTTTCACATTTGGCTCTCAAAACCTCTCCAGTACACTTATTTTTAATTGGAGTGCATTTTATTGACAATTCACAACCTGCAGCAAATAAGTCACACCCCCAACCCCGCCATTTAATTGAGAAAAGTGCTTAAGCCATTTGTTTCTTGGAGCAAGAAAAGCACAATTTCCCTTACAGTGGGAAAAAGGAGAAGTAGTGAAGTTTACATACCAGTTTTTCAAAATTGACAAGATTATCCAAAAACGTTTTATTTCCTTCATGAATAAATGTTACATCTGAAAATCAAAAGCAAAAAGATATATGTACCATTAGGAATGGATCATGACTCAGGGCTGAAGAGGTGAACATGCAATGTAGCTTACAAATTTTTCTTAAACATTATTTCATGCATTTGACAAGGCAGCTTGAAACTGAATCTGTATAGTATTTGATATGAGAGAGCATAAGTTACGTGTGTGTGGAGAAAACACTGTAACATTCCCACCAAGTATCTGTCTTGCACTCAACAATGAAGACTCTGACTTCAACCCACTTAATATAAGCTACCACTATCCTATAACTTGACTGGTTCATTATGTATTTAGGCCAGAACACTGAGCAGAAAAGGACTGAATACCCGGAAACAAACAGGATTTTAATATTTACATGTTTGCTTTTTAACAATCCCTGGCAAAGTTTATGGGACTTGCTTTACTTAAGACATTAAGGTTTAGATTTAGATGTTTAAATTTAGACTTTTGGTTCTCAAAGCAAGGGCCTGACTGGGTATTCGAAGGGAGTGAGGAGAAGAGCAGGTTTGAAAATGGCAAGGTTTCTGGGCCCATTCAACCACTGGAAGCAAGCATCACCAATGGAAACCACATAAAGGAAAGGAGGATGAAGGTACATTTTCAGAGGAAGGGAATGTTACATTTGATTTGAGCCTCACTGCATCTGAAGTGACAGAAGATATACAAATAAAAACCTCCTTTTGGTTTTAAAAATCACAGGAGTGATAGGGATTTGGGAATTACTTTCAATAATGACGGCAGCTGAAGCTCTGGAAGAGGATGACATAAAACCACAAATCAGAGGGTCAAGGACTGAGCATGAGGGAATCCTCACAGACAGGAATCAAAGTAAGAAATGCACTACAATGTAAAGAACGTGCAAATAATCAGGTTACATCAGATACGGAGGGCAAGCCAAATGAAAATAATTTTCAAAAATCTTGTTAAAATAACAGTATAAAAGAGGGAAATGAACAGCTTAATATTCCTATAAATAGAAAGGGAGAGCATTTGCATTTAATCAAGACTTTGATTCTGCTGCTCCCTATGGGGCAATTACGAGCTAGGTGCTTGGGAAAGCTGCCTCCAACACATCCAGCAGCTGAGCTTTGACTTCCCACCGGGGGGCGACACCAGTTACATAGTTACACAAGACACTGGTACAACCCTCTTCTCAAGGCATCCTTTCAACGGAACTTGCAGCCTGGCTGGACAGCAACCTCTTCCTAAGCTTTTTTCCTTTTTTACCCCCTTTCTTTTTTTAAACTGGTGTCCTAGCAGGAAAACAATTTGGAATTATGCAGTCATCTGACAAACTCTTATTATTTTATTATCTTCCATGGTGTTGCTTTCAGAATAGAATTGCAAGCTCTCACTCTGAAACCCAATATTTAGAAAGAGTAGCCAACACAGGTTTTTTTTTTTTTTTGTACAGCAAGTAAAGCACTGTGTGCACTCTACCCACATTAAACACCACCCATAAGCCTAGTCTCTCCTCACTCCCAGAGGTTGTGGATTACATGAATGATGACATTAATACAGTTTATAATTACTAACAGTGTCAAACATGGCATTAATTCATTTAATCCTCAACTACAGACTGTAAGGTCCCTAGCAGGAAAGCATGTGAAGAAACTATGGTCCAAAGAATGAGCACAGCTGACCTAGGACCACAGCTCTAAGACTCAGGGCCAGGATCCAAGCCCGGGTAGCCTGCTTGCTCTCACCACCGTGCCTCTCTGGTACCTGGAAGGACTTGGACGTCTCTTACAACCTGTTACAGTCAACCTGCTGAATTCATGGGATGTGGGGTGCCTCTGCAACTTTTAAAGTATTTCCTTTGTCTGTCGCCCCTTTTATCTCTTCCCTCTCCTCTGCCTGGGTGGTCTTGCTTAACCTCAACTCTCAAGGGCTTGTCGAAGTCAGCAGATGAGGATGGTGGCTCTATTGAGGGTGGGGGCTGTTAGGCTGATGCTGGCATGAGGATAAGGCAGGGAAGATGCATCTGGCCAGGTGGGGAGGGAAGAGAGGCTGGAAGGGGCTGCTGCCCAGAAGGAGATCTCAATGGCTGAAGGTTTTGATGCAGATGAATGGCAGGTGTGTGATGAGGAAGGCGTGAGAGAGATGAACCAATAGGCAGCTGAGCTCAGAAACTGGGAACTCAGAACTTAAGTCGGGGGCTGTGGAGCAGTTCAGGATACCCACCGGGATCAGGGTTCTGGAAATGAGTACCTGCCAGACCCTTCTATCTGGAGACACCTGAACATGCTCCTAACACTTCGTATAATAGAAATGATGCCATCTGAAGAGATGGTAAATGAAAGAGAGGGAAGAAACATACAAGTGCCTTGACACCCCCCTAAACCTGCAATAGTAATCTCCACTCTGAGATACAGACACAGCCTCAGGTTTATCCTCAGACCTGCCTGCTGATTATTTACTCTATTGGAAGGAATACCATCTCCAAAAACACCACACGATACTTTTGAACTTGAGCTCAGCTGGTTCCTTTTGCCAACACTTATGAAGGGTTTCCCATTCACTAATTTCTGACTGGATTCCACAGTTGAGGGGGAAGTAAATCAAAAGGTAAGAAATTCACCGGGAAACAGAAAAGCTGATGGCTGGAAGCATTTTGAGGTTACGTGATTACTTGATAATCTGCATGCTGTTGGGAATTGACCATCTCAAAAAAAGTGAAACAGGGGAGCCACAATCTTTCTTAACACTCACAGAGTTCAATTTGGTCTTTTTCTCTAACCAAAAGCAATCCAAAGTAGGAGGCACAAACAGAGGTGTGGGAAGAGTTTTCATTAAAAAGTTAGTTGCTCTAATGTGGTTTACTGCAAATTTTAAAATAATTTTGTAGCTAACAAGAGCTAAGAATTAATGTCGCTTATGTTTTTCAAAATGTCTTATCTCGGATGTGATATATACACATTTAAAATTTTACATTTCCTTTTTTCCTGTGGAAATTATTTCAGACAAAAACGGTGGCTTTAAATGCAACAGAGTACTAATGTTTATTTTTATAATGACAAAAATTAAGATAAAGGAAAAATAAGTGCTTGTTTAAACTCGAGTGCTAATTTAAAAAGAAAAGAAAAAATGTTTACTTTTAGTGTGAATGAGAGAAGGTATCTTCAGTAGAAAAAAGAGAAATTTTGTTTTGCTGCTAACAAAGAGGTGTAGATAAGCTCAGTAGAGCAGAAAACTGCATCCAAGCTAAGATGTTTAAGTGTGAGACACCTGACCACATTAAATATTTTAGGGGAAAACCCACTAACATATAGCAGAAAGCTCGGCTCACATCTAATTAAGTTTTAAAGCGACACTGTTGACTATTTTCTCAATACCTGAAAAACATTTATTGTTTCAAAAATTTGTCTTCTAAAATCAATTCCTTTCCTAGACCTGTCTTCGTTTCCTATTTTGCCTATTTGTGTCTAAATAATTCTGTTACTTCCCACGTGCCACCACCTCCACTCTCCAGTTGGTATTTTATTTTAAATAAAGATCAAAAGCCTGAATAAACTTATCTCAGAAATAAATATGAAGAATAAAATGAACGTTTAAGTTTTACAATCTCTCCTTATTTCATCCATTTACATTTAGCAGAATCTTTTGAGCCTGAATGAAGCATTCTGTGTGCCTCTCAACTGTCCTAATATATTATTGCTTCACAGAAATTCTTGCTTTATACAAGATGAAGGTTAACTAAGCAGCTGCAGGGATGCAGAGCAACTCAATAATTTTTCAAGGTCTGGTTGTTCTTCAGAGAAGCAGAAAAGGGAACATCAGCTTTATTGCCAGGGGGCTGGTGATGCGGGGCGGGTGGGGAGGAGGATGTCCAGGCCAAATAGCAATCCAATTTCTAGGTAATTCATTTCCAGAATCACCTTTATGGGTGTAGGCACTGGGGTCTGATCCAACAGAATTTACAAGGCTCTGAAGGGCAGAGGCAATAAAATTCCCTTGATAAGAATCAAAATATGGCCAAGAAAGATGACCAAATCCCTTTTCTACGGAAAGCACACAGGTAGGATATATACCAAACGGCAGGAGCATGGGCCAGATTACAAAGAACTTCCCTCTAATCAGTCCCTTTGGTTTGAATGAGCCCACTGAGCTCTCATTAGTAAACTTAACTAACATGTTTCATGATGAGTTATCTGGTGCTGTCCAGAAGTCAGTGGACTAACTTGGTTCAGTCACACACTTTCTCAACCAGATTCTTGAAAGAAGAAAGCACATTCTCTACCAGGAGTTTTCATACAGTGTATTACTTGTGTTGACCCGGGTATTTCTCACACAGCAGCAAGCCATGGGCTGGATCTCTGAAATTTAGGTTGCAAACGGACAACATGACTGGTCACTGGTTGGGTTCTTAATGCCAGCCTTACTCCTGGTTGAATTAAGTGGACTGTAGTCTCAAAGGAAATAAGACAACGCTTAGAAGGAGAATAAAAGAAAAACACAAAAGTGTCCAGGGCCAAGTTTTGTGAGTTGAGTGAAGAAGCTCTGAAGTCTGCTCAAGTGCAGTGAAGCATTTTAGGTATCTCAGAGATAACTGAGCATTTGAAAAACAATTACAAGCCAACACAGTTAGGTCTGAATGTCAAAATTACTTTAAAGAAATAAACTCAGAGTCCTTTATTCGCCCTCTATAGTTAGAGCGATATGTTTCTGGAAGATGGAGTTACACAGCATAAAAGATAGAAAATCATTACCTTTAAGCAATAAGGGCATGAAAGGGATTTTGGGAGGCTTCATCTTTTTAAATGCATCTCGGTAGGCTTTGTGATTCAGGGAAGGATCCTGCCGAATCAAGCAGATGACAAAGAGAAAGAAAAAAATCAATGTGCTATATAGAAACAATTCTAAATCCACTTTTGCTATACAATTTGAACATGATTTAGATATAGCGTGGTCCTTCCTAAGAACAAAGTAGATAAAGGTTTCCTAGGAGAATAAACTCGCTAAATTAAGGCAGGAAACCTAGGCAATGAATGAAAGTCAAGTTATTGGTTGACAATAATGGGAAATGACTGCAAAGGAGAGACACCTTTTGATTGCCCTATTATTTTCCCTCAAATAGGTTCTTTAAGCAGTTTCCTCTCCATAATTTCCATCATGAGGTAACCCCAAAGTCTTTTGTTAGGCATGCTGCAACGAAAAACTGCCTTCATAATGCACAGATAACATAGAGGAAACAAGAGAACAGTTTTATTGTGTTCCAAAAAGAAAACTGTACATTTTATATCTAAACCTAAGAAATGGTAAAAAGGGAAAAAGTCGAAAAGAATAATGCAGGAGAAAGGCACACCGAATTTATGCTGATTAAATTCGAGGCTTTGAAATGGATTATGCTTAAAAATCTGCCTTCTGAAAATCATACCAAAAGGACCATTCTCACTATCTTTTTCCACAGAGAGGAAGAAGCATTAACCATCAGCTTGCTTCACACCATAAAAAGCAAAGCTACATTTTCACACACACGTGAACTAGGCTAAGCTACCAGCATGGGAGAGGGCGGATACCGACCACTGACATCCAGAAAGAAATTCGACACTAGCAATCAATTTGAAGAATAAGTTCACTGTGGCTCAACTACTTACTGTTAAACTTTCAAGTTCAGAGAAAAGCTTCTTAAACTTTCCAGGGATTTTCTAAAAACAAACGAATAGAAAAGGGCAAAGAAGTCAGTAATTTTGAGAGGCACTAAGGGGAATGTTTGTTAAGCTCTGTTTACATACATCACATTTCTGAACCTAAATACCTCTGTCACTTTGTTCTACCCTGACTGCTTCTTATTATGCAATTTTCATCATTCCTTAATGTGACGCTCCTTGGGAATGTTGCTAAAGACAGCGTAAAATAAAGAACAGCCACACGACTCGGGAATCTAGCTGGTTAGACATTCCACACGCTAGGGAGGTTTTAATAAAAACCTGGATTTCAGTTCCATAGCTTACCTTTTGACAAATGCTCCCATCTTCTTAAACAGTCTTGCTGAATGGGAAATAATCATGTTGGCTGGTATTTTTTGTACACATGATATAATTATGCTTCACAGCAGAGGGCTGAATAGCGAAGCACCATGAAAACCTTAAGTGATGATACCTGTACTTCAACGGGTAGAATCACTGAACTGTACGGATCAACCACGCCCACAGCTGGATGAAGAACGACCGAGGACAGAAACATATGCCATCCTCCCTAATGAAAATTCAGGCCTATGGAAGAAGGGCCTGGAATTTTCCAGCCTGCTTTTAATGTGGTTAAGTGAGAAGCTGGATGCCTTAGGAGTCAGTCTGAATTTGAATTCTGACTCTGCCCCTTTCTGGCTGTTTGTTTAGTTCGAGTCTCCAAGTTCTCCGATAGATGTGGAGACGACTCATAAGAAGCAGGGCTGGTGCTCAACAAATTCCAGCTATTAACACTAGTGACAACGTTCTCAAAGATGTGTGGGATTTTCCATCTCCAAAACAAATCAAAATAATGAGGTAAACCCCACAATAATCAGACTTTTAAACTTTAGAAATAGACTTTCCTATTTGATAATGTTCAATCTGGACTCAGTTTATCACAGCAAACAGGTTGTTGGATATGTTTGGAAACTACTGTTACACACACCAGCACACATGGATTAATAAATGGAAGACAAATCAAATGAGAAAAGATAAAATGTGAATGGCTGCAACTGATTCCAGTGGTCCTTCTGAGCTGCACATCTTAGTCTGCTGGAAATTCCACACGAATGTCCCAGTGGCACCTCAAACTCAACATATCTAAGGACAAGCTGATCTACTCCAGGGGTTGGCCACGGGCCAAATCTGTTTGCTTTTATAAATAAAGTTTTATCGGAACACTAGCATGCTCATCATTTACAGAGTAACCACGTGGCTGCTCGTGCACTGCACTGGCAGAGCTGGGTCACTGCAGCAGAGACCAGATGACCTGCACGGCCTAAACACATTCAGAAACTGGCCCCTTACTCAAAATGTTTGCTGCCCTCTGTTCTAGTTCCTCAGACCTACTTTTTTTCCTGTATTGCCTATTAGGCAATATTTAGGGTAGTGTGATCACTTGCCAGGGCTGGAAATACTGAGGTCACCTCTGCCAGGGATGCCCACCCCCAGGGCTCCCAGCAACTCCAACTCCAGCTCCACCTCCAAGGCCTGGCTGCAGGCTCAGCTGCCCTCAGACAGAACGATCCCTCCACTGCTCTGCTGTGGTCCGAACGGACCTCCTTCATCACAGCACGCTGTGTCCTAATCTGGCCCATTTTCCGTCTGCCACAGCGCTGGTGCAGTGCCCTGCACAGAGCAGGCAGTCAGTGGGCACACGAAAGGCACGCTGTTTGAATTGAATTGAATTGTTCTCTTCTACATGCCTGCTAATCAAAGCTTCTCTCCGGGTTTAATTTAAAATTCCACTCTCCTCCCTGACCCTTGTTAGCCGTCTGTCTTCCTCCTGCTCTGATCAATAGCCGCATTTCTTGTCCACCTCGTTTAATCTCTCGAAGTGCATGCGCGTCGCGTCTGCTTAACCAGAGCTGCGGGCCTTTCGAGTCTTTTCTCTTGAATCCCTTTAAGGAGCACTGACCCTGACGCTCCGGTCACCATGGGGCATTCCATCAGAGTATGGCCCCTGACACAAAGAAAGTGAACCCAGAAGTTGCCCAGAGACCCACACTGAGATCTAATGTGAGAAAAACGGTGGTGGGCCTGTCAGCATCTCTCCTGCGGGAGTGTGAACTGGGAACCAGGAAAGGTATGGGGCAGGCCGTGCTGGGAGCTGAGTCTGAAGGACTGAGGAAAGGCCTTGATGGTTAGAGTAAGGATGAGGGGGGAACCGGTACCAGGAACAAGGCAGGCGGTCAGGAGGGAATGGAGGGAGAGAGAACCCCAAGTCCAAAAAAAAGGTGATGGGGCCATGGGGGAGGCAGAGGGCCCTGCATCTCTTTCTGGCTTAATTCAGGGACACCCCAGTTTCAGCTCTCCCCACGTATACCCTCAGAGTCCACATTTCGGAAAGTGCGTTGACTTGAGCGGCCTCTCTGCATGAGCCCACAGCCTCCATCACCCTACAGGGACAGGCAGAGCCAGGACTGGGGAAGCCTGCCACCTACCACATTGTGCGGGCAGCTTTCTAAGAAAAAGAATACAAAATTACTTCATTTTTGCAAGCTTTACAAAGATACACTTCATCCACATGAATACACTGCCAGGCGCCCTGCGAGGGAGAGAGCCAGGAGCTCACCATTCATCAGCTTCTCAGCAAATCTGCTTTCTGGACACACAGGTGAGCTTCTGAAAGGACCACGTGGAACTGTAACTAAGCCCTGAAGGGAGTAAAGCCAGGAACTAATTCTAGCTGGGGAGCATTTTATAATTTTTGTTTCTTTCATATCTATAGAACAATTTTAAAGAACATTTGCTCAGAATAGTCCCTACTGACTTGAGACATTAATTTTTAACTCTTTTTTCTCTAGTAGTACTTATTTCGTTTAAACCATTTAAATCAATTTATTTTAAATAAAGGCTTTTTAGGTGGAACATTTCCCATTGCGTTTCATCTGTCCCCCGATCCCACCCTCCGTATGGACCCCCAAGGCTCACCTCCCAGGTCTGGGACAGCCGGCTGACGGAAGCAATGTTGAGACCCATCACAATAGCGAAGAAAGAATTCAGGTTTCTCTGTGCTTTGCAGCTACGGGAAAAAAGAAGGCAGAAGGCACTTTGAGGCCACATCCTTTCACCAGATGATCCCAAAAGATAAAGCTGCAAAGACTCTCCTAGGCCACAGAATTCAACGTCTAGGGCAGGGCTGAACTCTGCTCGATGACCTCTGTACCCTTGACCTGTGGGACGGGTGTTATTTACTCCCTCAACACAACTGATCCCAAATGCTTCAGCAACTCCAGACCTTCAGGAAAAGATCTGTGCTCTTGATATTCTCTGGACACTCACAAGATTCCTCCTTTTAAAAAACCTATTTTCGATGCATTTACAATTTCAACTGAAAACTCTCAGAAGTTTATGTATCCCCTACCCTCATTTCATAAAAAAAAAATAACAGCTCTCTGGTCCTGTCTGTAATCCGGATCTGCCTTTCTTTTTTGACAAAGTCTCTCTCAGCTCACAGGTCTAAGCTCCCCCTCTCATTACATTTAGGTGTATTTTCTTTGCTTTCAACAAAATAGCTACTATGTTATGTATATATTTAAAGTATGGCATAGAGGGAGGATACAGCTCAGTGGCAGAGTGTGTGCTTAGCACGCACAAGGTCCTGGGTTCAATCCCCAGTACCTCCATTAAAAGACAAACAAATAAGTAAATAAACCTAATTACCCCCCCTCCAAAGAAAACAAAAAACAAAACAATAAATAAAGTATGGCATATATTATGGAGATACTCTCCCACATTTCTCATTTAAGGAAATAAAATGCAAAATAAGACCATGTTGAGCTCCATTTACTGTGTCAGGTTATCTGCTCTACACAACGTCAATCGTGCCTTTCAACTTAATGAGTCAAAACTCTACTGATTTTCAAAGCCAGCGGAGGGGCTTGATACAGCAGAGGGAGGCTGGGCTTCCAGTCAGCTGAAACAGCCTGTGCATCCCAGACACTCCTCAATCTAGGATGTACTAGAAAACAATTTCTTTCAGATTCACAAATATATAGAGAACAAACTAGTGGTTATGGGCTGGGGGAGATACAGGGATGGGGAATTGGGAGGCACACACTATTAGGTGTAAGACAGGCTCAAGGATGTTATTAGACAGCAAGGGGAATATAACCAATATTTTGTAATAACTGTAAATGAAAAGTAACCTTTAAAAATTATATAAAAATAATTTTTAAAAATTTAAAAAAGGAGACAACTTCTTGGAGGCAAGTTTCTAAGCCTGCAAAATTATGCTAACTTTATAATTAAATATGAAAAAATACGAAAGTGCTTAGCAGTAAGTTGGGTGCATAAAAATTACTTGGGTACCCAGTGTGGGATGTCATCTCTTCCATAACAACTCCATCAATGTCTTAAATAGAATTTGGGAATAGTGTATATATAACTCTGCCTCCTGCTTTTTCAGTTACATAACGTGTTACTTATTATGGATTCTTCACTGTCATCATTAATGGCTATATAACACTTATCAAAAACATATTTCATAATTTGTTTTCTTTTCCCTTATGGCTGACATTTAAATTATTTTCAATTAAATACAGATTGAGACAATAAATATCTTTGTGTATAAAACTATTTACTGTATTTATAGTTTTTTAAAATTAAGCTAGATTTCCAGTCAGAACCAGGAAACTGGTTTGGGCTCTTAAAGTGGTAATACATAGAGCTGGTGGTGCCCGGGCCGGTCCTGCCTGAGCAGCCTGCTCCCGGCCTGCACACTCCCAGGGCAGCTGTGCCTGGGCATCAAGGCAGTGGGGGGGTGGGGGTCACACCTGGGAGCATTTTGGAAATTCTATACCCATTAATAGGGGAACCTGGAAAGGCACTGTTGCCTCCATCCCTACTGTCCAAAGCATCTGGGTGAACACAGTCCTCAGGGCCCCCACCGCTGAGTCTCCATGGGCCCCAGTCTGTCTGTCTCACAGACTAGTCTTCCTTCCAGTTTTAGACTCTGCCTCCAGTTCCCTGGTAGGCAAGAGGACCTGAAACTTAGCCTAACTGGCTCCTTCATCTGGTTTCTGCCAACTTTCTCCTGAGTAGACTCCACTTGGTATATTCCACGAATAAACAAACAAGACTCTTCCTAGTCTATGATTTAGAAATCCACCTATTTCTCAGAAACACTGGGGCCTAAAGGCGTCAATACTGCAACTCTTCTTTCCTTCTGCCATCACTTCCCTCACTCCATCTTCCTGTCTCATCATAACCTGGAAAGTTCACCCCAGCCAGAACAGACTTCAGTCAGCTCCATCTCTTGATGGGATGATTTGAAGTGCCAGGCTCCTCTGTCAAGGTTTTTGTGATCAGTGAGAACTGCTCCACCCCTGTCTCACCTAGAAGCTCGCTCTCACTCCCACCTTACTGCATGATGGAAGCCCTGATGGTTCTGTTGTTTCTCATCATTCAAATGCCTAGTGTACAGCAAGCCCTTCAGACAGCATTTGTTGGAGTTAAAAACAAGACCTTTTTAGGGAAATAGTTTTATTATTATTCATTATAAAAAAGTTAAAAATTCCTCTTTGTATTCGGCATCATTTAACTATATGAAATCTTAGATATAATTCTCATCCTCTTATCTTTCAGCTCCCTATAAACAGTTTTCCTGGTTCAGATCTCTTTTTTGTCGTATTTAAAATATGAATCTGTAAGAAGAACACCTGAATCTGTAAGAAGAAAAAAGAAATTAATATAGACACGATTTCTCCATAAGACAAGAATTTTTTTTGGTAGGAGAAGGTAATTAGGCTTATTTATTTACTCTTAAAGGAGGTACTGGGGATTGAACCCAGGATCTCATGCGTGCTAAACATGCACTCTACCACTTGAGCTATATCCTCCCCCTATAAGACAAGTTGATACAGTACAAATATGGACTACCATCCCCGTCTGGGGCCCTCCTTTACCAAGCCTCATTCATTCCATCAGAAGAACAGACTGTCCGACACTAAAACATTCCAGTTTAGCGAACACTCCTTTGTGTGAATAAATGAAGTCCACTCAATCCACAGAGGAGGGGGATGGGATTGGTGAGGAGGAAGGAAACATGAATATGCAAATAGGATGCCGTAGGCAGGGAAGACACTTCACGATCACAGAAATTACTGTTCTCCCTCGGCCATTCCTACTACTGTGATTGTGAAGAATTTAACTTTCTGTTTCTGTTGGCACTCTCTTCTACAGGCTAGGGATAGAGAGCAGTATAGCAAATAATTGAAGAGCATAGGGCCATATGGAGAAGGAATGAATATACGTATTTCATTTCCCTGAGGATAGACACAATCTTATACTGGGAACTAAGCTATGTGGTATCATTTTACTCGATGGGGTATTAATGTCACATTTCACCAAGTAACTGGCATTTATAAGAAACCTTTTGACCCAAAAGAGCTTCACTTTAAGGAGTTTCATAGGCTATTGTAGAATGTGATGGCCAAATTAAAAAAAAAAAGCAGCAGCGGCATTCACCATAAAAGCAACCAAGATTCAGGCTTATCTGTAATCCATCTCTCCTTCCATTCCCAGTCACATCGAACAGCAGGTCAGGTACTTCCATTATCTCTCACCCAAGTAAACCAAATATTCTGCTTCTGGGGTCTCCTTGCCTACAGTTCAGTCTCTGTGCTACTTTCAGATCAACCTTCCTGAGGGACAACTCAAATCATATCCAACTCCTGCGCAAAAACTTCCAAAGAATCCCTAGTGTCGTCTAAATTCAGTCCAAACTCTTCAATCTGAAAGTCAACATCCTTTCCAATCTGGTCCCACCTTCCTTTCTATATCAGTGTCTCACGGCTTCCTTACAAATAGCTTCCACTCTGGCCAAACTGGATAAGGTTCGTTTCTCTGACCACACTCTCTCTGCCTCCAATGCGCTCTTCTACGTCTTTTCTCTGGTGAGTTTGACCTCCATGGAGAGTGTGCTCTCTTGAATTCTTACCCAGAATTCAAATGTAGCTTCAGATGCTACTCTGTTCCAAATGTTGTTCTAATCTATCTTTCCCACATCTTTGGCATAAAGCTTCCCTTCCTCTGAAGTCCCCAACAGAATTTCATCTCATAATAGGGCACCCTTCCCCTCTATTTTGCAAATTAACCATTTGAGTTATAGAAAGTATCCTCCCAGCAGACAGTAAAGTCCTGGAAAGCAGGGCTTTGAGTGTAGGCTTACTGTAATTTCCCCACAATATCCTGCATGGATGTGCATATATAATGAGTGATCAATACATATTTCCTGAATATATTACACTGACATGTACTCAAAACTGTTTGATATAAAAACTACTTTGACAAGTAAAGGAGGAAAAAAATGAGAAGACTAGGAGGTAAAAGGAACTGGAAAATACTTTGGTTCTGTTGGGAAGCTGTCCCAAGAGTAGTCTTAGGATGTTAATTTGGCATTTTAAGAGATGCTCCCGGGAAATTACTAAAATATCATTCTACCAGCATTTATTGAGTCACTGCTATTTACCAAGTTCAGTACCAGGCACCCCAGGCACTGTGATTGATTAGAAATGGTCCCCATCCTCTGGAAGCTAACACAGCCCAATGCAAGAATCCTGTATTAAAAGGTAAGTTTAATCAATATAATGAAGAAGTTTTAAAAAAGGGCAAAAACCATGTGTGCACCGTGGTGGGGGGTGGTTGTGGTAGGGAGTAGTTGACCTTGCATTTGAAAGTCAGGGATGATTTCAAGAAGGAAGCAATATTGGTCTTGAAAAATCACAACAATTTGCTGGGTGGAAGTGGCCATTCTAGGCAGAGCCAACAACACACGTCCAGGCTTCGGTAACGGTGTGCAAGGGAAAGGGACAGCCATTTAGAGTGACTGCAGCGTGGGGTGAGGCTCAGAGGTCAGGGAGACCAGATGGTGCAGAGCCTGCTAAGGAGTTTGCAAAGTTCATACTCTGGGCATGAACGAGCCAAGAGCAGAATCTTGGAACGCATCTGATTTTCAATGATTCTCATTCGCTACTACTTCCCCCATTTCCCTAACCTACTGTAGCTCACCTGGCCACTTTGTAATTTACTTGCATGATGGCCCCATCACATGTGCACTGCCTGCTTTTGTCTATAGCAAAGAGCAGAGTGCTTCAGCTTCAGTCTGGTATTTTGACATTTACTTTAAGATATACATGCTTCAAAGGCAAAGACAGAAATATTCAAAAACAGACCTTTTCAATCACTTGGTCACTTAACTCAATATTATACTTTTGCATCCCAACCCTTCTTATTATTGCAAGAAAAAAAGTCTCAGGAGAGGAGAGGAACTGCATTTTTTACCACTAGAAACTCACTGAGCGGCAATTTTGATGAATTTTTTCACCAGCTGCACTCGCTTGCCCAGCTGGCTGCAGAGCAGAATCTCCGTGGCCACCCAGAGCTGGACTTCATTGCATCTCTGCAGCAGAAAGCTGAGGTTCATTGTGTGCTCCCCACCTCCTTGTCTGCTGAATGTGAAGTAGATCAGCTCTTGCTGAAAGAAAGTATATTTATGCCAGCATTTATTTTTATAGCACAAAGTAAAGTTGATTCAAAATTCAGTCCATTTTTAAGAGCTATGGCAGGTAGTCACTCTCATACCATGATATGTTATGAGAATATAGCAAACAGCAATATATTAAATTCAAGACAATTTATCTTGACTTTAGAAATGCCCTGTTGAATAATGTTCACATAGTGAACTTATATAAGTGAAATTTTTTAGAATGTAAGAATGATGTATTTCATGAAAATCTAAGGCATTCTAAAGTTTAAGTCATAAAGTTAAGTCAAATCCAAACTTCCCAAACTCATTATATAGGCAACTTCAAATGAAAATGAGTATCACTAGCATTTGTTAAGATGCACATTAGACCCTCACATTTCAGTGTGAATCAGAATCACATGAAGGCCTGTTAATGCACAGATTGCTGCGCCCCAACCCCCAAGTATTCTGAGTCAGTAGGTCTGGGGGCTGGCCTAAATCTGCATTTCTAACAAGTCCTCAGGTGTGCTGATGCTGGTCTGGGTACCCATTCTTTGAGAACCACTGATAGAAGATGCTGTCAAACCATAATCCAAAAGAGAGTGCGATTAGGACAAGACACAAAATTTACAAAATTGAGTTAGACCAGTAACTATTGATATAGACTGGCCATATGCAAAGCAATGGAAGAAATTTATTTCTAACTGGATGGGTAGGAGGTGCTATGTGTGTGCAGGTGTGTGTTTTACAGGAGAAACTGACATTCTCCCACTGCATAAGCAGGGACACATCCTGCTCTATTAACATTTCCAAAGTCACAAGTCATTTAGCTTGAATGAGTTCACTACTTGCTCCAATGTAGATCATCATGCTGGAATATTTCTGAGGAGAAAATATGAGGACATTTAAAAGACATTCCAAAATAAAAGTGAAGCTTGGGATTCCCTAAATTGGGCGTGATTTCCTTCTTCAGAAGGAAAGGCCTTTTATAATGAAATATTTCATGACACAGCAAAGCAAACTCAGCATACTGTAGCACAGAAGCACCTCATTTCTCATCTCCTGATTCCTGTGAGGCTTTCCACCGGCCATGGTGATTCATTAACTGTCAATAGCATTTTGTACCTCACCCATTGTTTTATAAGTATTTAAGCTGTCCTCGGGGAGAGGGTGATGGACATGAAAATTTGAAATATACCTCAAAATTTTCAAGAAAGTACTTGAACTCTTGCAGCATAGTCTAAATTTATGGAATGTTCTTAAGAATGGGTATGTATGTGTAAGTATATACAAAATGTGATTCATATAAGTACTGTAAAGGTCCTGGAAAAAATTAAAATATCATTATCAAAGGTCTGCAATGTACAATGTTTCTTCAACCCCATTAGAGCTTTATCTACATATAAATATATACAAATGCAAATGTTTTCAAACAAAAAAAAATACAGCATATGTATGCTACATTACACAAACATACAATTGTATTAGGTGCAAATAAAGCATGATCATGTCTTCTGATTTTCCTAGTTTGGCGTCAGTCTTTCAATGCATTTAAAGTCCCCCGATATCTTTCTGGGCTGCAGTATCCTAGATGATGGATCTTTTTAAAACCTAGTCATGCACAAATATTCTTCAAAAAGAACTCACAGTTAAAATCGCACTAGCTTATTTAATTGTTCCATTCTTTACTTACCTCGTGAATTGAATTGAAGAGGCTCCAGTCAAAATTCATTAATTCCAGAGCCAGATCCCAGGTGTTCATTCCCAAAATCCTAACCGACCTTTGCTGTGATTCCTCATTGTCTGCAAACGGGTTCTAAACAGACAGAAGCAAAAGGGTCCTCAGTAAATTCCCAAACGTTTGGCACTGAATTGGCTGGCCACAGAAAGGCACCAGAGGCCCACTTAAAGAAGCAATCATGTCTGAGTGCACTTAACCATTTTCCCTGGTTTGTTCGCCTTCAGTGAGTTATAGCCAATTTAGGAAACAGACTTGGAAGCAGTAGAATGTGATCAATGATACTTCACTGAGTCGCCCCTCCCCCCGACACATACACATGTGCGCGCGCGTGCACACACACACACACACACACACACACACATACATATGTGCACATACAAATCTGATTATAAAACACTGCCCCGGCAGACAGCATAATGAAAGCGAAAGCCCTGAAGTCACTGCGACTTCTGGTAAGAATTAATGTGTCAGCAGGGTTAGTATAAAAACAAACAAAAGAAATGTCACGGTGCACTTCAATAAGGACAGACATGGCTTTTACAGAAAATATGTTTAACAAGTCTCATCCCAGACACATATTTACAAATTTTATTAAAATGCCCATGGAAAGCAAAAAAAAAAATTTTTTTTAAATAGAAAATAAAAAATAATAGTGACTTCATTTATACCCCATGGTGGATGATTATTTTAAAGTATCAATTACTTTCCCTGTACAAATAGCTATGAGTTTGCTAATAATAGTATGTCCTTAAAATCTGGCATAAAATTATTGAATGCTACCACAAATGTAAATCTATTGTCACCGTGAAATATATTAAAAATTATTTGCAGGAGGGGTGGGAATAGTTCAGTGGTAGAGCATGTGCTTAGAATGCATGAGGTCCTGGGTTCAATTCCCAGTACCTCCATTAAAAATGTCTTTAAAATAAAAATTATGTGGCATCTTTTTAAAATATTTGATATTTTCTAATTAAGATATAAATTCTTCCATTTGAAGGGTTGGACTTGAATAGTTTATGATGTTAAAACAGTTCTTGGCTTGGAAGAAAGAGAAAGGGACTGCAAAAATAAATGCCATAGCAGGATGAAGGGAATACTGTAGATTCTAAATATTAACCTCTATTTCTTGAAGTGCTAAAAAAATTATTTGCTGTAAGTTTCCACAAGAGATTCAATGTAGTTCCCTGTGCTATACAGTACAAACTTGTTGTTTATCTATTTATATATATTAGTTAGTATCTGCAAATCTCATGTATGACTGAAGCATTATACTGTGCACCAGAAATTGACACATTGTAAACTATACTTCAGTAAAAATATATATACAAAAAAGTGAAAATTAAGTATTCAGTATTGAAATCCAAAAAATAAAAATGAAGAAAAATAAATTATCCACATTTTCAAATTTTTGTGTTTATGAAAAGGTTTCCTAATTTTAAAAAATGACAAGATTTTCACAAGCTTTTCCACAAGAGACTTGATTCTCTTCAGAGTAGGTCAAGGCGTAAACCGTCCCTGTGCCCCCAGAGTGGGATACAGGGTGGATGGAGCTCAGTAAGGTTGTAAAGAATGAATGCAGTGCAAACACTGAGGCGCTGAGGTGGGGGAAAGCCTCCCAGGTTTCTCAGAGATTGGTCTGGCTAGACTGGGACCAGATGGACCCACGCTGCACCGCAGACATTCAAAAAGCCCCGAGTTGGGACATAACACCAACCTTCGCTTACTGATTTGGAGGTGAAGGATATTTTCACATGGCTCTTTACCCCTCCTACTTTCTCCCTTAATGCGCCCCTGCCCCTGGCACTGTCCTCTAGTTATTCAAGGCAGACCATCACCCTCTCCAAGAATCACTGTCTATGTCTCTATTCTTTTCATACAGGGCCACGACTCCTAATTTCCAAGATGAATTTAGGCACAAGTATAGTGGATATGAGGGATTTCTCACATTACCCTTCCCTTATAATGTTCCATTTTGACTGAAATCTTTTGGAGATAAAATACCTAAACTATAATTCCAACAGGGAAGTTTTAGGGGGTGTGCCAACCTGGTGGGGGGAACATTTGAGCACAGGGTGGCGTCTGGCTCAACTCGAAACGTTTCGGACATACTTCATAGCACCTATTCCTCCCATTAAGACACTGCTGCTCGCCTGCCCTCCACTCTTGTGAGCCTGGCCCTGGACCGTGGTAGAAGAGCGCTCCGGGAATGCATGCAAGGGAGATGCACGAGAAGTCTGTGTGGCCCCGGGGAAGGCGGGGAGACAATGCGGTCCCTCCATCACCAGGAACCACAGCAACCGCATACCAGATCCTCCTCCCTGGGGAGGGGTGCAGTCACATCACTCTCATTATTTACTCAAAGATGCTGTGCAGCACCCTGTCTGTCACCTTTCACTGCTGGAATTACATCATGTATAGACCCACGTCCTGGGACTGGGGAAGGACACTCAGAGCTGGGAAGGCCCACGTAAGACAAATAGCTTCTCTCTCCTTTTCTCCCCGGCGAGGTACAGATGAAAGGAATGTGCAGGAGCTCCAGAGTCAAATGTAACCAGACTGAAATCCTAACCCTCTCCCTGACTTGGCTGTGGGGAACTAGTTACTCAGCCTCTCTGAATGCCACATGGTGAGTGGGAACGTTAAATGAGATACTGCTTATGAATTAGTACATACGCGTCTGGTCATAATTGTGAAAATAATCGTGACTAATATTTTTATGGTAGCTTGATTATCATGTAGATAACTTTACATAAAATGTTTTTATTATAAGCAGTTTTGGTTAACATGCATGGTATACAGATTCCTCAGTGATAACAGACCACAGGAGCCAGCTGGAAAGACCCCACCCTGTGAGGACTCCATGGAACAGACCAGGACCCCGAGTCTGGACGATACAATCACAGTCTGGTAAAGCCTGCTCTTTGTGGGTGACGGATCTGAGGCCTGGCCCTACCATTCAGAAAGCAACCACGGGACTGAGGTTTTGGGGATCAACAACAAATTATCTAGTGAGATGTAAAAATTCTTAAATTTAGGACTGAAAATAACATACAGTGTGGGTTCTACATTTCTTCTCAGGATTATTCTTCATTGGCATCTGATGCCCCCCACCCCCAATCATGAGCCCATTTTACACAAGGAAGGCTGATAATCCACCCTTTCTTCAAGGAAACGGCACACTCAAAGTGCACCCAATGCACAGAAACTAAGGACAGAGTCTCTTTCCCCTTAAATCCACCCACATAGGGGGCATTTCTCAGCCTAATAACCAAATACTCACCAAAAAAAGAAGAAATGGAACTAAGATTCCAGCGGAAAAGAGTCACATCTCTCAAATCCCTTGTTGCAGGGGCTCAGAGAGAAGCAGGATCTGACTTAGGAAGAGTTTAGAATTCCTAAAGATGGGCCTGCCTTTGATTTGCAAAAGTAGTGTTATTTGACAAGTGTATTATTGGCGACAGGAAGAAATAGTTGGACGTATTTTTCTAACTTTCACTTTAAAACATACAAATATATGTTCTCAGTCTGACATTTGTGTCTGTGTGTTTCACGTACAAGGCTAAAGGTCCTTACCAAAGTGTCAGCCAGGTCTTTCCGGTAGACAAATATCCGACCAGATGCATCAAGGGATTTGGAGATGTCCAAGTCATTTGGCTGGAGTTCATGCTTTTCTTTATTCAAAAAAAAAAAAAAAGAGTAATTAGAAACACATGAACAGTAGTAGGCATTTACAGTACATCTAAAGAGTGAAACTTGCCAAAGAGTAAGATTTAAAAGTAAATAGAATGTGAAGTAGATTTAATTCAGTTCTGCAAATGCTATTCAATGACACCAGATAATCAAAGCTCGTTATTCATAAAGTGGTACCCTCTTGGATTCTTTCTTATATTTAGTCATTCTTTAGGACACAGAACAGCTTAGGAAAGAAAGTAAAATTCACTCATAATCCCATCACTCTAAAGTAATCATGATAGTAGTATTGGTAAAAATTGGGTGTATTTTTGTCCTGATCTTTATGCAAATGTGTGTGTCTGCACACACACATAAAGTCACAATTATTATTCCTACATATGCATTAAAATCATTATAGATACATATATGGATATATTTGTAATTATTTCCTTATGTGGTTTTATATGCTGATTTTCTTCCAAGTACTAACCCATTTGTCAAAATTATTTATATATGTCATGTGTAATTGGTTATATAACAGTCCATTATACTATCATTTAATCTTTTCTCTCTTGTTGAACATTCAGTGGTTTCTTTTTTTTTTTTTTGGTCATATAAATTAGATAGCAAAATACATGCTAAATACTAGCACGGGGCCTGGCACATAACAGGGGTTTGATAAATGGGATCTATTATTACAGCAGCCATAATATATATTGCTGAAGTCAACATCCTTGTGCATAAATCTTTGGCTCTTAGAGATGAATTTCTTAAGATAGATTCCCAGTAGTGAAATTATTGGGTCAAAGGGAATGAATATTTTAAAGTTTCTGATACAGACTGCCAAATTGCTTTCCAATTCTTACACCCACCAACACTCATCATTACTTTTGACAAATTTGCTGTTTTACTAAAATCAAAAATAGATTCTCAGTTTATTTTGATTTCTTGACTGCTAACAGAGCTGAATATTTTTCATATATTGTTCTTCTACTTCCCTATTGTTCCTGTCCTTTGGCCATTTTTCTACCAAAGCTGGACTCCTACAGCACAATAGGCTTCCTCATAGAAAAGTGTCTTCCCCTGCCTACAAAATGCAGACAGGAATCGACTAAAGGGATATTCAAGTTTATTCCACTGTAACACAATCAGCTTCTCCTAAGGTAGCCCTTCAGTTATCCAGCAGGGATGGAAACACAGTACGCCACGTATCTTTCTCTAGATAATTTAATCAGTTCAAATGCCAGATTTTGTTTTGAACTTCTCTGCTTGATACAGAGTACACAAATGATAATCTAATAGGTTCTTTACGGCCCAGAGTTACAAAGATCAATAGTACTATCCTGTCAGTACTGTCAGTGATGTTTGTAGTAAATTGTCCCATGTGGCTGGGCTCTGAAGTTCTTCCACCTCCTCCCTCTTTGTTTAGCTGTAATTTCTTGCAACCTTCTGTGTGTCCATATAAGCCTTAATCTGAATTTATAAGAGCCATTCCGTACCTGCTATGGAATAAAATGCCACGGCTTTCTGACAGTAATTTTTCCATTCACTAAGAAATTTTTTTTTCTTATTTTCAAGTTTGTCACTATACTACAAAAGATTAAAGATGATAGAATTTTAAGCTCTGAATAACTGGGTAGGTTTCTGTTACTATATGCATATACCTACCCTGGGTACAAAATAGGCAGAAATCTACTGAAAGCTGTGAGGCTAAAGGTGCCAGTCCTCTTAGAAAGATTCACAAAATCTACCACATGGCCAACATCTTTAAACTTTTTTTGACAAAAAGAAAATAACAGTAGATCTCATTGTCATTTCATTTTGAAGTAGCATTTAAAACATCATTTATTAAAAATTATGTAACTAGAGCAGAGAATACATTAAGCTCTGTGAGCTCTTTTTTCTCTTCATAAAAACATTATTGTTTGGGGATACGAAGCTGCAGGCAAAAAGGTTCTTAACAGACAAAACTACTAATTGGTGGAAAATGATGGCACATTTCCAAATCTGTGAGATAATTCAAGAGATAAGCTGATAGCTCTAGTGATGATTAACTCTGAGTCTATCCACATTACAACGCCAGATGAATCTAATTTAATAGGGTGTAAAAATGGTATTTCACAGTCATCAAATAGATATTGGCTAGTAAAAGAGCCACTCATTAATTTCAAGATTCACGTATGGCCCTGGGCCACCTCTGGGTCATCCTCCAAGGGGGTTGGGTCTCATCTGTGCCACCAGGTTCACCCAGAGTCCTTCCTTCCCCAGAACCTTCTGTCTGAATGGGGACCCGAGAATTACCTTCTGTCTTGAGAGGCAAATGCTGGTTTTGATGAAGCTTAATAGTGTTTTGAATCATTAACTATTTTTGGTCACTTAAAATTAATATACAACTATCAGATTTATCTGCAATATTTTGTTAAACAGTCAACCACTTTTGGATTAAAATTCATGTAGTCCACGTGTTTCTGAAATTTTTGCTCTTTTTCTTTTGATAATGTTTTGATGGAATGTACAATTAGGGCCCAGGGAGAGGAAGGAGAGACTCACTTACTAGGTCCGGGAAGAAGGGCTGCCTGTTTGCATATGTAATTGACTAAATTGTAGGACCATTTTACCTGCCTCTGAGTAACAAAGCAAAGAAGTAATATTCCGTCACATAATGCTTTAGTACGTTCTGATCTTCTCCTGACTGTAGAATGACAACAAAGGGTAAACAGGAATGCCCTTTATCTGCTCCCCCTCCCCCACCCACCCCATCGCTGGTTCATTAGTTAACATAGTTACTCCCATTTTTCAACTACTGAGGCTAAGTTTCTTTCTTTGTATTTTTCTCAGGGTTAATGAGATATTAAGTAAAGACTGTAAGCCAAAAAAGGAGGCCAGAGACACTGAGACGCTGAGATCTGACAGGCTCCAGTGAAAATGTTCGGGTCTGTTCAGGTCACATAGATCAATAGTGTCAGCTCGTAATCTGTGTGATCTTATTCAAAACAGACAATAAACTGTTCTCTGAGGATAAATAAGGCCCAACAGAAGGAAAAGCTATCACCAGGCCTCACTCCCCATGTCTTCCTGAAGGAACACTGCCTGTGAGCTTTCGGCTTATTGTACAGTTTTTATTTCCATCAGTATGGAGTCTTTAAGTCTTAAATTGTCAGCCAGCAAAATGACTAGTTCAAGGCTGTCTTTCTTTTTTCTTCCGAAAGTAATTTCATCCTTTAGCAATTTCCCAAGCTAATTTAAATATGAAAACAGAAGGCTTATCTAGAGTACAAAATATGTAAAGCCTTATAACACATTTCAAAACACTGGCGTGCCTCTCTATTCAGTTCTTGGGGAGGAAATTCAGTATCCAACAGTACCCAACTGTTGTCATGGAAACATCTCTGGTAGGCGGCTTCTTGTTGTTCCTGTGGTCATCCAGCTGCGGACCCGGGAGGGACGCACTGCACGATTACGCCATAAAAATGTCAACTCTCTCCTTTTGGAGGTGATCCAGTGAAAGATTAATATTCAAGGACAGAAAATCACTTACCCCCAGAGAATGTGACGGTAACCAGAGCCAGATCCTCTTCCGCATGCTGGATCTTTTCTGCCACCACTTTCAGGATCTCCTGGGCTGTACTGGATACTTTTGCCTTCACGCTGACATAGGAGTGCTCCGTTACATAGACGTGGCAAAAAACTGCACGGGGCGAAAGAATTGTGAGTGAACAAAGAGGTGTGACCAGGAGGTACAGACTTTTTCAAGTCAAGGCACCCACCCTCCTATTCTCTTTAGTACAGACCAGACACAGCTAGATTTACATATTTATGTACGCGCACAGGCCCTGAGGGTATATGCACAGAAGTGCGTGCCTGCACACACGGCAGATGCAGACACTATAATGCTGGGGGACAAGCTTGAGCAGTGCATAGGCGGCCCGAACTATAAGGAGAGACCCACACTGTGGAGGCGGCCTGACCACAACACAGGTGCTGGAGTCTGGGCCACACGACAGGACTCCGAAGCCCCTTCTTTGAGTGCCACTGAGGTCTCCCAAAGCAGTCTATTACAATGTCTTAACTCACACATTTTAATTTTACAGTCCTCTTCCAGACCGTCACAGTGGTCTTCCCTTCGCACAGAATAAAGCCCTTTGTTATTCGAATTCTCATAAGCTTATCTAAAAATCTGTCATCTGCCATGGTTTTTGGCTTCAGCCTTCTTGACCATTAAAGAATGATGTGCTCCTCGCCTCCCCATCAAGGTGGTAGTGAGTTTGCCTTCCAAATGGAGGTCACATTTCCAGCCTTTTTAATTTCCTTTTTCTTGTCTGCGGTGCTGATCATTATTACTAGGACATTATCACTACCAGGGTGAACAGGGCCCTGGAAAAATGTTTATGATTTGATAGGAGAAGCTGTTTTAATAGCAATGGAAATAACTGACAACATTATTTGCCTCTTATATCAGCTACTCTGAATGTATAAAACACTAGCTTCTTTAGAAAAGACAGAGGGACAGTAATACACTTAGTCTTCTAGACTAAAAAAAAAAAAAAGGAGTACAGCTCCTAGAGAAATTCACATGCAATTTAACTGGCACCACAAAAAGAAACCCAGGATTGTTTTCACAGATATGCCGATGAAGCAAAAGACAAATTCTGAGTTTACTAGTACAAACCTCAAAGTGAACACACCACCAGGAGGCACTGACGGCATTTTGGTTTTGGTCTGGTTGGGTGTCACTAAAACAATAGCATCTGACAAAGAGTTGTTTTATGTGTTGTCAACAGACTGGTGAGAGGCTTTTTCCTTCCATAGAAAGATGGAATTTTTGAGCAAGGCAAAGATGCAGCCTGCAAACCACTAAATGTGAGGAAAGTGTACAGCTTGCTTAAAACAATGATGAACAAAAAGAGGCCGGCGGGGAGTGAGGGGGTGTCTTGAAATACTCAGATTCTTTGACTCTCAGCTTGGAAAATTATACAATTAATTGTAAGACAAATGGGAAAAGGGGGACCAGCAACTGAGAGATTAGGAGGGAAGGTCATTTCATTTGCTCTCCACTTGGCACAGATGACACTTTGGACACAGTGAGGGCCATCACGGGCTGCTTGTTTACACAAACAATGGAACAGAAGAGGTATCCTCGTGACACGCTGTTGTTCAAGAAGTTGAGCAAATATTCAACGTCCACACTTAAGGGTCTCAGAAAGTCTCCAAGTTACAATAGTGTGAATATCTGCATGGGTGTAAGCGTTTTCCAGCTCTGCACTTGACTCACTTCACCCAAACAGGCGGAAACCATTTCCTGTTCCGTTATAAAACAGTACCGCCAGAAAGCACGTCAGCACCTCCAGAGTGCTGCAGAGCTGATTCCCCTGTGCTGATGGAGCAGCCCTCTTCAGGGCGGGTCACGAGCCCTTTGGGCAGCAGCACGGACAGAGGACATACTGTACGCGTGGTGCTGCCCGGCACAGCCCTGCCTTGGAGGAGTTTTGAATGTACATCTTTCCTTTCGTTATTCCCGCCAAGATTTTCTTCTTGAAATCTCGGGGACTGACTCAGCCAAAGCCCTGCACGCCACCTTCAGTGGACTTTCCAGTGAGTCAAGACACCGCGCTAATGAAGCAGGGGAGAAGGCGGCCAAGAGGAAAAGGCTGCCTTTCCTGTCCATTCTGCACCTCTCCCGGAGAGCGCAGGGCACTCCCTGCAGTCTCTCTTCCTTACTTCTCAGATTACAAATGTCCTTGGTCCCTGGGATAGTCTTCTATGATGAAGAAAACTGTAACGCCCACAGCAAAAGAAGAAAAACTATCATTTTGGGTGCTGATCGGAGGGGTGGGGCCGCTGGCAGTGGTTTAAAAGCACACTGATGTGTTACAGGTGGAGAATGACGGGTAGGAGCTACTACCCACCCACCCCAAATCCTCGTGCAAATCACACTCACATTCCCCTGTTTCAGTCACAGTTCCTCTGTGCTGGAGCCAGTTCTCCTTCAGACTGAATTGGTGGAAAAGGGCTTTATTCTGTGAGAAGGGAGAACAAGAACAATGAATGAATGTATTCCTGCCCTTTGGAAAACCACAGCTGTTTGCAACATGTTCCAAAAGAGTGTGCCAACTTTTTTTTTTTGATATGAAACCCACCCATCCAATCTTAAAGGAATAAACTGGGAGTTGCCTCAATTAATGCATGTGGAGGTGAAGAGTCAGAGCCACATGACAGATCTTGGCCAAGGCTAGTGGCAGGGAAAAAGCCCCTAAAATTATTCCCTACAACATACTGGAGAGTATCAGTGTGATTTTTAACCTCTGGCTGCTACAAATATTCACAGACTCTTCTCTTAAGGAAAACATGGTTTCCCCATCCCAATATCAACCTTGCTTTTAGATAATGCAATTTTTAGACAGCTTCATACTTCTGCTGTAGTACAATGACTTGCTAAAGGGAAAAAGGTACACTATGCAGTATGATTATCCCCCTGATACATCAGCTCCTACAAAACTTGTGCCTGACACGTCATTCTGTGTTTCCCCCATCACGCCTAACAGGAAACATTCATTCTTGCAACCATCTCTCTCTTAGGTTGAAAAGTGGAAACCCTCTTCTGACAAGACTTCCTTACTTTTTTTTTAAATATATCTTTTATATATATTTTAGATTTTAGTTTTTTTTTAATTCTGGGGAGGAGGTAATTAAGTTTAAAAAAAAACTTATCTTTAATGGAGGTACTGGGGATTGAACCCAGGACCTTGTGCATGCTAGGCGCACAATCTAGCACTGAGCTATACCCTCCCTCCCCACCCAAGTCTTCCTTACTCTTGCAGTCAAGATTCTTGTGTAGATTGTTTTCTGTTTTTACATCCATAGTTGACAATTGAATTTACATCATTCTGGGGACACTGGGGAAACTCTGAGACTCTAAAATGCACCGTGGAAATGTGGAATATCAGAAAGTCAAGGGCACCTGCTGCAACTGGATCTGGACCAGCCCAGGGAAACTGAAGTGAAGCAGGAAAGCTCAAGAGAGCTGCAGCCCTGCTTCCTGCCTGGCCCTGCTCCACAGGAGGTGGTGTTCCTTAACTATGAAGACGTGCCAGGTGAGGCCAGGCGAGGTCTCCAAACCCCATCAACCCACTGCAGAGAGAAGGGTCTGCCTTACCTTCCTTTGTGGTGAATATTCATCAACAGTGCTGAAAGAAAAAGGAAAAGAAGTCAGTCTTGGCCTCAAACCCAGAACAATGCAGTTATTGTCACAGAGACTACTTTGTGGGCACTGGACACAGGTTTTTGCTTTTTGAAAAGATAAAACACACAGTATTCATCAGTTTCCTATGTGTAACATAGGAAACATTGGGCTCCAGATGTCAGGTGAACCAGGAAGAAAAGAAGCTATCTATTCAACAGGTATATTTTGCTTTCTATCCACAGAAAGTGAGCACCCAGTGAAGAGCTGGATTTATTCAGCCCACAGAATCTCTTAAGTTTTCTCATATTTTGATAGCTTCTAGGTGAAATTATTGTTATTCGGAAAGCTAAATAAGTCAGCCACGGCAGATCTTTTCCAGAATGTTTCAGTTTGTGGTGGACTGGGGGACATTCTGCAGGGCCCCAGCTCAAATCTCATTCAAAAACCTAAAGATATTTCATAATCTTATACCAAGAATCACGTCTTAGATCATTTTCTTACTTAAATCTCATTTCTTATTTTAATTTCTTACTAAATCTTATTTCTCATTTTAATGTGTGTTTTTCAAATGGAATGTATTAAATTCCATTAATGTATTTAATGCATTTAAGTGTGTATCAAACCAGAACTAAATCTGCCCAACTGTAACAAGGCCTGCCTTGCGGCAAGACCAAATTCCATGTAGGAGATTATTTTGATGTAAACATTTCTTCTTTTTTGTTGTTTCATTTGTTCATATTTTCATACTAGTCTTATGCTATGGAAATTTATTATAATGTAGACTGTGATAAAAGAAGACCACCCAAATTCACAGTAGTTGTTTCTAACACCTTGTGCCTCATTTCTGAATTTTTAAATGTGTGATTTTCATGCTTGGGGATTAAGGCTTAGACATGATTTGTTTGCTCCCTAAAATTATTTACATAGCCATTTATTTGCCATAGGATCTCCATTTACTAAAATGAAGCCAGGCTTTAAATCTCAAGTCAGTAGTCTGAAAGGCCTGAATTAACTTTCTCTATAAGAAGTACATTTGTGACTGCTGAAATCTTAATAGAAGTTTTTCACACTTGAAAACAGATGCATTTTATGTTTATATTGTAAATCAGAAAACAATTTTTCCCTTCAGATGAACTTTGCAGCTATATCTGAAAAGTGAATAATGACTTGTTGTTCTTTACCAAAATTAATAAGGAGAGTTAGTGTTAAAGTCAGGTATTGACAGCTTGAAAGACTAATGACAGATACCTCAGGGACACTTGGACATGACAAAAGGCATTGAGGAAACGCTGTTCTTCAATCTTTTTAAACTGATAAAGAAACCTCAGGGAATCCATAAAATTGAGCTTTTAAAATGCTCCATGACTTGCTGGGACCTATTTGTAAAACTTTTTTTCCTATTCCATGAGAGAGAGCTATGAGCCCTCCAAATGGCCAGTTAAATATTTACACTTTTACAATTAAATTATAACGTATCACATAATTGTTCTTATGCACCCACATTGTCATGGCTCAGTTTGTTTCTATCATGTCAAAAAGGGTTAAAAAACAGCCAATAAGAGAGAGAAGATGGCGGAGTAGAAGGGCGCTCGTAAAAACAGCCAATAAGCTTGATCTAGTGTTTATTCATTTTGAGCTAGAAAAACAAAACAGACATTTACTAGTAGAAAAGGAGGCATCAAGATGAATCTTAAAGTCAAAATGTTCAAAATGATCTTTAAGAGACACCCAAAGTTTTGTCACATTTACTGCTCCTTTCTTTCATTAACTGTGATAAGCAAAATTAAATACTCACTGCCGACGGTGCATTCCAAGTATCTTCTGAAATTCTTTCAGTTCTTTTTCAAGTATTGGATATTCATATACATCATCCAGTACATTCCTATAAATGGTCTGGGAGAAAAAGAAAACGGCAGCTTAATTGGTTTAATGCCTCTTTTGTAAGGACTAAGACTCATACAGTGGTTAACTTGCTCAGGGAAACAGGTGGGATTCAGGCCAAAGCAGGGCATTAAACCAGTACCTATGAGATCCTGAGTGGGTTCCACCTCCTAGGCCCACACTCAACTGGAGTGGCTCTCTGGAAGCTTTCAGGGGCTTCAGGTTAGGAACACTGGAAACTTCAGAGATTTCTGGCTAACTATACAAGATTTCTGTGCCTGTTCTGTATGTTTAGAAATAATATCCACATAATCATTTTGGAGGAAAAGACATCAATTGGATTAAATGACCTAGTTGCCTTTAATCAAAGAGTTGGTTTACACCAGTTTTCAACTGGATGTCTAAATGACACCTGAATTTCGAAATCAAAGTGATTTCTTTCATGAAAGGTAAAGTCAGTTTAGACACTTGTCTATTCTGAAATAGAACTCTTCCTTGCTCGAATTCCATTCTACCCCTCTCTATACTAACCGGCACAGCTAATATGGTTTTGATGGCCAAAGGAATCCGACTGTTTACAAATCATCTCCAGAGAATCATCTGTGTTGAAGATACTGCAGCCTAATAATGACTAGAAAAACTTACCAGTTTATCTAACTTCAAATGTGAATCTAGGTTAATATCTATGTTACAAGTTATTATTACTTTAATTTCTCAAAAAACACCATGTCCTGAAAAGGTTTCATGATGTATACCTTGTCAATATAGTTTTTAAATGATATAGTTTTATCCCATTATTATAGCTATGGGGCTGGTTAGTTTAAACTTATAATACACGTCAACATACTAAATAGTATCAAGTTTTAAAGCATGTTTTATTTTACCTTCCTTAGTTATTTCACTTGCAATCAAAATTCCCATGACTTATAAAATATATAACCTTAAATTAAAATATTGTAAAATTTGCCTGTAACATTTATTCATATTGAACTATTTAAAGTTAAAAAATTTCTATCTATTGTAAGGAATATCAGGCTTCAGAAGTCAAAACAAATCAATACTTTCTTTGAATCATAACCTGAATATTACAAACAAGTTGGAGGATTGTAACCTATGAGTAAGATTTTTGAAAAGCGTAACTGAAAATAGTATCAGTCATTTGGCATTAAACTAGAAGTTTCACATTACCTTTAAAAACATTTTTGAATGTTCATCTTCATGTAACCAGTCTTTGTACAGAGCAATCCACTGGGAAACAAGATGCAAGACCTTACGTTTCCGACAAGGAACATCTGAGTTTTCTTTGCCTTGAAACTTCTTAGCAGAATAGGTGCAGACGGTTAAGAAAGAATACTACGTTGTTGAAAATGAAAATATGAGGCAATCTGTTGATTCTTGTTTTCACAAAATATGCTAAAGCACTTTTTCCAAAAAAACTATGTGTATCTAAAGATGTAGGAAGAAAAGAATGTGTAGGGAGAGCAAAAGATGCTCACTGAAAAGAGCAAAAGTCAACGCGAATGATTTACATAGACTTGGTGGCAGGCGGCAAGTATAAGGATTAGAGGATCACACTGACAGCTGCCGACACAGTCCCCTGGGCAGCAGGGGTTAATGCCACCCCAAAGAGATGCCAGGCGGCCCGTTCACATCAAGGGTGGCTCCAAGAGATCCAGCCTCGTTATATAGGTGGACACTGTTTCCATAAAAGTTAGATCAGAACTAGGCCAGATAAACTTTGATCCTCAGAAACCCACATTCCGCGAAACCAGTTACTTCTAAAGTAGGCCCAAATGAGCACAGATTTCTGGAGTATCATTTGTGACGTGATTCAAATATCCACCCTTAGGAATCTACTTGAAAAAAATTTGGGTAAATGTGCAAACGTAAATAAAAAAGAATTGTTAATTTTTATTTCCACCAGGACAAAAAGAATTAAATAGGGGTAACCTAAATGCTTCAGCCATTGAGAACAGTTAAATAAATTACTGCATATTCATTTAACAGGCTCTTCTAAAGCCATTAAAACCAATGGTCCAGCGGTACATTTACTGACATAGGACATTCATAATATGCTATTAAGTAGGAAAACAAGTAAGAAAAGAATAAGTTAGGATGATCCATTTCTATTAACTATGCTTATTTATATGAATAATTTCATTACCTGGAAAGATATATACTGATAGTTAACAGTGGCTCCTTAAGGTAATGAGATTTCAGAGAATGTGAATTATTTTTATTGTACTTACAAGCATTTCCTCATTTGTATACAATGACTGCACATTAACTATGCTGTTAAAATTATATAAAAATAACAATCTCAAAGGCAACATACTTAAAGCCTTAGGAATGAGACAGAAGCTTGGTGTTTTCCAAACCAACCTAGTATTTTTGCTCTCCAAATTATCATTTCTGAGTATCCTGGATACAATGAAAAGTTAAGTAGGAATAGAAAATATTGTAATACCAAACACAGGTAGGCTTTGGGGTTGCTGGACAGGATTCTGTGTTCTTTAATGCTGATCTATAACTGCAAATTAGGAACACATTCTGCATCAGGCTTTGTAATTATTTTAAAACATAATTTAGTCACTGCCTCTTCAACCTGCAAAAAAATGTCAAGGTCATGTGATTTCTTTGATTTCTACCTGTGAAATAAACTCAGGCAAACACATAAAGAATCTGTTAGAGTATCTTTCTTCTAGTGTTTCTCTTGAAAGGCGAAATATAAAGATTATCTTAAATTATTTCCACTGTCCTTTTCTTCTTTTCCTTTAACTATCATGGCTTGACTAATGATAAAGAAAAACATCTGGAAAATTAACAAATACTAACAACTTCTTTCTCTTATGTCAGCATATGTAAGTGAAGAGATGAGCTTCTTATTGCGGCTGCATATCTGTTCTACAATCATGGACCTGCCAGATTAAGCAACTTCAAGGACTGAAACCTGAACTACTCTCCTCTACTCATAGTTACCACCATGTAGTTACTTAACCTTGTTCTCTTCCCTACAAGATGTATTTTTAAAAATATTTACTGATTAAATTTACATTTGTACTTTCCTGGTTTTCTGTATCAGGGTCCATTCATTCTTGCACATTTTTGCCCATGCTAGATTACACTGATGTACACGTTCAGCTGGGGGAGGGGACAGTGGGAAGGCATTAGGTGAGAGCTATACCTTTAGCATAATGCACTGAACGTTAGCCAACCTAGGGCTGTGAGCTTAAGTAATGCTTTTTTTTGATGATAAAAGTTGAAAAGCTTTAAATTTTATCACAATAAAATATCCACGTGAGATATCCAAACACAGCACAAACGGCCCTAATCTGTAAGCAATGTTCAAAATCAATGAGGAAAAACAAACAAAAAAATAATTTAGACCTCTCCTTAGAAGGTGATAGCAGTAGAATGTAAAAGATATCTTCACTAAGATGTACATAAATATATCTCAGATTAAATATGGATGCCATATTTTTGTAGTTTTTATTATTTCATAAAAGGCAGAGCCTGCAAATATATTGAAATAATCATGCAGGAAGACTTCTGGCTTAAAATGTTCTGTATTTCATGAGTTTTATAACTAGTAAAAAGCCTGCTAGGAACTGGAACTAAATATTCATATAAAATGTCCTGACCAACGACTCAAAACATGTTTATATCCAAGTAAAGTTCCAGAGATTCTTCAGGGGAATTCTATGAGGCATTAATCTGTTCAATAATAATCACAAATAAAAATAGGATCACATTTAAAAATAATAGTTTGAAGGCATCTAATTTGCTGTAAAACAAACTATTATTTAACAGGTGGTAATTCTTTTGGAATTATGTTAACATTAAAATGTAGAAGAAATTAGCTCATAGGTAATTTTTCCAAAACACTTATAAAGAAGAACTTGACAACCTTGTAATTCTTGCTAAATTTCCTAGTAACACCCTTACTTGGAAGCTGTGGAAGAAATCTGTTTTTGAAATTTTCCAAATTCACAACTAATAATGTTTCAAGATCAATTTTATGAACTGGTTCTAGAAAGTTTCAAAATACATTTGTAGCTTTGTGTAGCCATGCAATACAGTCAAGCACTAAAAAGGAATGACTAGTTTTAGTTTATATATTTATTAAGAGGGATTTTACTTCGATTATGCCTTTATGGCATTTTAAAGTATTCTCTTAAGTAGGAAAATGCTGTAAAGTGGGGAAGAAATGTAACAATTATTTATCAGGAGAAGATTATTACCAAGACCACTACCATCAAGGTTCAATCAAACTTAGGTATATGCAAAAACAAATAAACAAAAAAACCCTAACAACCCATCTTCCTAAAAATTTTCATGTGGGCTCAAGTGAAATCTTCAGTTTGGTTTAGTAAAAACCTGACAGTTAAAGGGCTACTGAAATACTTTTGCAGCATCTTCCTTAAACATTGTGAGCAAGACACTCATTTGGAAACTCTAAATATGTTCCCTTGGCTTGGCTTTCCAGCCTTTCATCTATTGCACCTGTTCTAGTTGGTGTATAAAATCCTAAAGCTTCCATCATCCTAAGAGAACGTGCCTTGACAAAGCTCCGAAATGACAACTGACTTTGAGGGTGAGACCTCCGATGTGGGGAACCCTTGTCTCCCCTGGGGACATCTGCCCAGAAACACACTATCACATATGTATGTTTTCCCACCTGAGTGGTCTGGCACTAATTGGCTGATTGTTTCATTAGTTCATGTATTGCCAGTCCTCTCAACCTCCTGACCCTAGGGTTTACCCAGTGGGCCAAGTTCATGTCCAGATTTCTAAAGCCTGGAGACAGAGGTTTGGAGAAAACATAATACGGACAGTACAATTTACCCCCGACATGGAATGTGGAAACAGCAGCTCTGCATTTCCAGTCCCCCTGCCTCGTCTGTCTCATTTCATCTTTCACCTTGGCGAGCACGACGTATTTGACATAGCTGTACTCTACTGAGGGGCTGAATAAGTGAAGAAAGGCAGCTCATTCCTAAGGTGAGGCATCGGTGTGAGAGGAAGCCGCTGCAGCGTCCCGAGGTCAGTGAAGGATATTGCCTCAGCAGCGCCTGGCACAAGTCGTCAGTGGTCATGAAGACCGTGTACGTGAGAAGGAAGTCGTCAAGGAGGGTCTCTGCAAAGGAAGGAAAACAGACACAAAGTGAACAAATTGGTGATAAGGGCAGCTGCTTACCCAGGCAGCAGAACAGTGTGCACAGCAGAAACATGATAAATGGTGGCGGCAGGAGGAGGGTGGAGGTCAGGAGAATTTCAGCCACAAAATATATTACATTATCCATTATTTTTACAAACTCCATATATAGAATGCCTCAAGCAATGAAAGTATTTTTTCTTTTTATTGTAAGTCTCTCTAAACATACAATTTTGTCATCTTTTTTTTCCTAAAACATCATTTATATTTGTGGGTACAGATGTTATGAAAACCAATGCATAAAAAATGTGCTTTTAAAAATAAATTTTATAAGATTTCCGAGGTAGGCACTCCAGACCTACAGGGAATGAAGCCTACATGTTCCAATAAGTAAAGGCTTTTTCTAAAGCCATTTACCAAGGTCTAGGGCAAGAACAATGGATAATAAAACCCAGAGGACACACATCAGGTTCCAAGGCCATTCACCTTTATCTCTGGAAAGCATCTGTAAGAAGCTGGGAAAGTGATGAGTGATTTTCTTACTGCCATGAAGAGAAAGTTAAGCCCAGTTAAAAGTGGAGAGCAGGCATAATGTGTCATGACATACTCCTTCCTAATTTCTTTTTCCACCTCTTTAACCAACAAAAACAGGCTCCATTTTTATTGCTTCTTGGCTTATGATATGGAACTGCTAAACAGGAAAACTGACCTCCAATATAATTTCCAAAATGATAGAAAAGATTTATATTCATAACGCAAAGTAGACTTTTTGCCATAGCACTCTTTATCTAATCTCCTTGCTTTAAAATGCATTTTATGATATTTAATTTTCATATCTTCTACATTCTGGATATCAAATTTTGAGCTATTTGAAATAGTAATAAATTGTAAGAATCATGAGCTTGTCTACTCAATAGCACTGATGCTCTCTTACACAATAAATGTGTAAGTACAAAGAACTGCCTGGTACAGAACTCTATGTTGAAGACTGGAAAAATTCCAGAATTTTAGAAATAACCAGCAACATTTACTTTAAAAGTTATCAACGCAAAACAAGACCATGCTTATGAATACAAAACTCTGATAAAAAGAAGTTGTGAATGACATCTACATTCCTGTATCAGCTGCAGGGGTTAATTTATTTCTATGGTTTGTTAATGTTGCAAAATATCACAATAGCCCTGATCCACACAGGTAAGTGGTTGCAATGGTAATGGTTGACAAAAAAGTTTGCTTTCAACTTGCAAGAGGCCCTTTAAATGAACCAGAGGCGTTAATGAAGAGTATTAGGAGAATTTCTTCAAAGATATTTATTTTAGGTAAGTATTTAGTATTCCTTACTAAAAAAATAAATTGGACAAATAGCACCAAAATGTAAAGTAAGCCTAAATTTGTAAGGCTCTATCACACTGCAGTATGTGAACAGTCATTGGTTTCACTCACTATTACTCTGTGGCAAGAGCAAGTCCTCAAACAGATGTGCCTGGGCCTCGCTGGGCATAAAGAGACCCGTACTAGAAAACAGTGGGAACGTGGCTTACCGGACAATTGAATGAGTGGACATGCTCAGCCTGCATTCACAGCAGAGCTGGGCACTCTCTTCTGGGCCCCTGTTTACAAACAATTCAAATCTACGCACAGAAAGGCAGGAGAAGCTTTATTACAAGACCTACCCCAAACTAGTTAACCTGGCAGTGCAAGTTAACCGCTGGGCATTCTAGTGAAAAATCTGGATTATGCACTGGAAACTTTGTGTCTCTTTCATTACAGTGTTTTAAATAGTTAAAGTTAAGACCCAACAATGGCATAATGTCTCAACTCCCAGGGTATTTTGGAATTCAACTTGAAAACTATCATTCTGGGATGCTACTGAACAGTAATGTTCACAAATGATAACATTTCTCTGCACTGAATATGGTTGATGAGAATCCTCAAATTCTCTGGTCTGAGTGGAAATGAACACCTTTTCCTTTTTTTTTTTTTTTTTGCATTCTCTGTTAGATACAGCCAGCAAGGACTACAGAGTAGCCCAGAATCTATTTTGGGGGTTTTCAGTGGGTCTCTAGAGATTGGAGCCAACAATACAGAGAAACCACCGGATGATAGCACTGAGAACCTCACACATGCAGCATACAAAATTCTTGGCATGACATTCAGATTCAGACTCTTTGGGATGGTCTTATACTTAGCTAATTTAATGAGGTTGGAAGTATTCTCTAATCAAGATTTACTCCATTAGCAGCTGAGAATACAAAGAAAAACCTTTAACTTTGACATCACCAGTCATTCCATTCTGGAACTGTCTTAGATAATGAACTGAGTGACTATGAGAATCTGGTTGGATGGTGGCAAAACCGTCTGGCATTCAATTCAATTAATCAACTCACATATGACAATATTTTGTTAAGGGCTTTGACCTAGAAATGCTTATTTTCCCCTAAGCTACTACCATATTTAATATTTAACAGCACGTACCTAATTACCTCTCTGCCATAGAAATATTAATTAAAATAAAACAATGAGGCTACATAAAAACAGCTCTAGTTAAAAACCTAATGAAGAGAATAACTAAAAATCCTAATGAATAGAATCGATTACCAATACTCCTAACTTAAATCTTTCTCTATTAAACTACCATGATGTCCTGAAAACTTTCTATATAAACAGCTTTCCTTGCTTCTTTTTCAGCACTGATATTCGTTTCCTGCTCATGAAAGTAATTTATTGATATAATGAAAACAACACACTTCAAATAAAAGTGTATTTTATAATAACCATGCTTCAAAACAGGCTGTCCCATTGGTATTTAGAGATATTTTTAGAACCACAATGGCTATATAAATGATCCCCTGAAGACTATTAGCCACAATGGCCATTTAGAAAGACCAGCAAATCCATCGGCATCCCCATTAAAACACTATAATTATCTATTATATTATATAGTGCTTAATTAATGGTAATTTAAGACTAGGTAAAAAAGCACCTTTGTGTATAAAAAACATTTTTCATTTAAACACATTCAGAGTTGCCGTATAGACTAATTCTGAATAAAAAGATATTCATTTTGATTTCTAGCTTAATGAATACCTAAGTATTAATATACAAAATAACTTTTCTTTGAAATTCAATTCATTAAATCAATTACTAAATCAAATCCCAAGTTCCTGGCTCATCACTGACAAAAATATTCAGCCATCCTTTTGGGAATACCCCCATCTTCCCCAAAATAATGTAGCATTTTGTAGTAGCTTTCTTAAATACAGTAATTACTGTTGCAGTATAGAAACTACAGGCTTATAATAATCAAAACTGGAAGGCAAATACTATTACAGTTTTAAGAAGTATGTAACTTGAAATAAAATATATCTATGTGCTGTCAAAATCTAAAGCCTTGATAGAAATGTCTTTAAAATTCATGCCTATAATTAGGCATAATGATGTTAATACAGAAATTTTCCCTATCATCTGCTACTGTTTTACTTTCAAGGCATAAGAAAAGAATTGTCTATTTTTATTTGATTTTACTTGAATGTATTTTTCTTTTATGCATAAATTATTTTCTATCACTTTAAGGGTATCAAGCATTAAAAATTTCCATTTTATTTCTGCAAAACACAAGTGTTTCTAGAACATGCCAGAGCTGTGTCAAGGTGGAACGGTAACTGGTTTGGTACAGATCCTTTTGATAGGGTTCTATTATGTAAATTTAATCAAATTAAAGGAAATGATCTAAATGTTTCCAAAAGGTCTAAGCTTAATGCTTTTTTTTTTTTTGGAAAAGAAGAAAAAACAAAAACAAACCCTGAAGTCTAGAAATCAAAATGAGTATAGGGTGACATAGGAACAATTATAGAAATCTACTTCAGTTATTTTTCAATACTGCAAAACACACTGCAAAAATGAAACTACTCATCCGTTAAAGCGAATTACCAAGAAAGCAAATGAAGAGAGTTTTGACAGACAACTGCCTATAGGAGCCATTTAATCTAAGTAAGGTAATATTCAACATTTCTGTACTAACTCATACTCCCTAAAGTACTGTTAGCCATTTTGTTTCTGCTTTCAGCTGCAGTGAGATTTAAGGTGCTATAAAATATGCTCTATTTAACCTTTATTCCAAGGAGCCAAGAAAAGCTTTGTACTTGAAAAGGCCCATTTCTGGCCCTGGAATGTTAAACTTACCGTTATTTTTTGAGAAGCAATGCCAAAATGTACAATGTAATTTGATTAAACACAACAAACAAAAATTAATGTTCACTTTTCAATCTTAAAGTGCTATGCCACTGATAAAAGCCATACTTGTTGCTCACTGTATTTTATGTTTCAGAAAGTAAAACTAATCACCTCAAATGCAGCTGTTTGTCACAGTTTTTAAATTCACTCAACTCCTGCCTACTTTTACAATTCCACCAGAGTATTGCTTAGCCATTCAAAAACTGCCAAAACTTGGGATCTTGTTTTATTTTTAGATATCAGTTGCACAAGAAACGCTTGTTCATTTAATGCTGTTTCTACACCGTATCTTAAACGTCATCCCTTTAATGACAGGAGCTTATTATAGAAAAGGATTGCATGGCCCTCTTTCAATAATGAAATCCATTTTTATTTTAACTTGTAAAATTTGGTTTTGGAATCCAATCCCATTTCTTTAGGAAAAAACGATTTGAAGGTTTTATGTCCTTGCCTGTGTTTAATTCTACATGCTGCCCTTTAAAAATGTCACTAGGAGCACGGAGTATTAAAAGCAGCACTTTTATCTTCTCTACACAGAGAAAGGGTCATGGTGGCAGGTCACCCTGTCGTTACAGAAGGGAGAAGCCCCATGAGCTCCTGCTGTCCCAACCCCAATCAGCTGCTCTCAGTGTCCAGGCACAATTCATGTATCTGCCCAGTCTGCTGGGAAGCTCAGAAAACAGTATAAATCATGCAAAGGGAATCAGAGAGCTGGATTCCTACCTGGGTAGTAGCTAAACTCTCTGGGT